ATTCCGAGACGAGACGACTGCTGTTGTGATTTACTATTAATTACATCATTTGTATTTAGTTTTTTATCCTGCAGTTGGCGATTCCATTTGCTTTTTATTTCACTGGGGTGTAACGGAGCAGTCCGCCTGCAGTAAATAGTCTCTAACTTCTAATAAATAGTAAATCAGTTCTGAGCCCGATTGCCACTGATAGTCAATATTTTATGAAGAAACCAAAAATCTCCTCTCTGTGAAGTCTCCTGTTTGTACATATAGATGAATGTGATGACTACTTCAGCACACGCAAACTGCCATGGACTCGCTTCAGACGTGTCACTCTGTAGACTATACGCTAAAAACTGCCTCTGTCATTCATAAAACATGGGTTCACATCTTGTCGGCTCTAGTCTGGCTTTGTGTCTGTTCATCTCATGCATTCATTCATACCTGGAGTTTCTGAACAAGGGTTAGGGTTAGACTGAAGACAAAGGATCATTTCTTGTCACGCACGGACAGTTTTTTGTAAACACTGCTTTTGAAAGATGGGTCTTATCGTTAGATGGACAGTGCATTTCTTTTTAGATCCAGTTGTAAGTTCAGTGATATGTTTTTGTCTGTGTTTTATTGTAACTGAAAAGTTTGTGCAAGATACAGGTGAAAATTGAAAATTAGAATAACATTGAAAAGTCCATTTACTTCTGTAATATAATTTCAGGGTGAGACTAATCTTGAGTGATACAGTGAGATACGTCAAGCTCTTGTTAGTTATATTGAGTTATATTGTTGATAATTGGCTTGTAAAAAAACAAATAAATGTCTTATTTTGACAATGATGTTCAAAATTTAAAAAAAAGCTAAGACATAATGTAGTTTTTTTGTGTAAAATATTGGTTTCACATTTTAAAGGAGCAGTTTGTAAAACTCTGGCAAAAAGTAGGTACCGCAACCTCTCCCACTCTCGCTGACTCAGGTTGCCAGATATGCAGACGAATCCAGCTGGGACCATAATATCTGAATAGACAAGAGTTTTGTCAGTAATGATTTGAGAATCAGAACGAGAACATTTTTTTGGCTTCAGCCACATGGTACTTTACCAGGGAGATTACCTTGACGCGGTGAGTTCTGGCAACCTGGATCACGGACTTTCTGATTGGTGAAACGGTGGAGGGCGGGACATCGGAATGAAAACAATAACAAGATTCACAGGCTGTAAAATTAAATCTGAAATTCAATCATTTCGGTGCTCTTTTCGAAGTATTGGAAATGATCATGGTTTATTAATGCCTTTTGACAGATTAGGGCCATTTAATGATGACTCGACATGAAAATCTTACATATTACTACTTTAAGTTGAGCTACAGAAACAAATTAACTTTTGAACGATTGTCTGCTTGTATCAAATACTATAGGGCTGTCAGTAGGATTCATTTAGTCATCTAATAAGAATAATCATTATTAGTATATTTTTGTCAACTATTGAAACACATATTAGAATCGACCACTGACCAACAGAGGTTTGAAACATAGTGAAGTGATTTTCAAGTGCAAACCTATGGCCATTCTTTTTTCTCCTATATTTCTACAGCCAATACAGTTACCATTTTAAACTTAACATAAAAAAATAAATATTGGCCAGGTCACATTGGAGGGAATGAGGGATATAAAGTTCCCTCCACCAGAATGTATTTTTTATCCGTCTAACACCAAACCGTATAGGCCGTTGCCATGGAGATATCTCTGGTTGTTTTATCCTATTCAAATGTCTCTAAATGGTCAGGACTCGTCAATTAAACATGTATCCACTTTGAGATTTTAAAACGTCTTGAACTATGATGGCCCTTTTTTATTATTGATTTTTAAACTGTTGGTGCGATGCAAAGGGCGAGAAGTTGAAATATTTAGTGGTAACCAGAGATAATGTAGATCTGAATACGGCTCCTCGGGTGAAACTGGGCCCACAGGCTTCTGACGTTTTAATATTTTATTCATATTCAGCTATTTCTGCAGCACAGATGCAAACAGGAGCAGACAGGGCCCAAAAACAGTGTGGCTTCAATATTCTTTCTGTTGTTTTGAGGTGAAAAATATATAAGAAGAGCCCAGTGTCTGACAGCTCAGTTCAATCAGAGCCTTCTTTGGTCAAGAGGTAGAAACTTTCTGTGTGTAACTCCTTCAACCCATTTTTATGGAAAGTTTTGATTCATTTCATATGGCAAGGCAAGTTTTTCACAAAAAATATAAGAAACATCAAAATCGTACAAGGCATTAAAATAAAAAATAATACTCGCGGTACATTAAAGAGAGTGAGGATACAATTCTTCAGTTTTATGCACAGCTAAATAGAACCGATTTCAACCTGAATTTGATCATTGTCAAAGTAGAAGCCTGTCTCACATTTTCAGGGAGACTGTTCTAGGTTTTAGCTATATAGATCTGAAATGCAGCCTCTCCATGTTTAGTTCTGACTTTGGGTACCAGCAGGAGGCCAGTCCCTTTGCTCCTCAGTCCCAGTGGATTCATTTGGCACTAACAGATGTACTTTGGTGCGACTGCGAGGCCATGCAGAAACTTGTACACAAGCATAGCTGCTTTAAAGTCTACTCTCTGAGCCACAGGAAGCCACCCCAAAATGTAACAATTCTGCTGTGCTAATGCTGTGTCCATGCTGTGCTCTTGCTGGGCCAACATGTTTTTTATTTAATTTCTTGTGAATCTCAACATAAAAACAAAAAGTGGCATGCATTTGAATTTCCATATTTGGGCCACTTATTGTATTCCAAATGCGGCCCACTTCTGGTTGACTTGTGTTTCAAACGGGCTGTAATATAATATATACAGTAAGACCCACATTTTTTCCACATGTAGCTCACATTTGTTCGAGAGGATCATTTGATTTGTTCAGTTAAAAATATTGTTGATTACATTTTTATTGCCTTTGTTATTCAGTGTATTTTTTTTCTTGACTAAAATGCCTGTGAAACTGTAGGTCTACATTTACTACAGCTCCAGCAGATCATTTTGTTCTAGCACAAGGACTGGCATCCTGCTAGTGCCCAGAGTCAGAACTAAACATGGGGAGGCTGCTTTTCTGATTCATGCTGCTAAAATCCGGAACAATCATTCTGAAAGTTTGAGACAGGCCTCTTCTCAGACAATGTTTAAAACCAGGTTAAAAACAGTTCTGTTTAGCTGTCCATACAACTGAGGGATTTTATATTTTTATCTTTCTTTTTAATGTACTGTGATTATACAATGCTATCTTATGATTTTAATGCTATCTTGTTTTGTTCAGCACTTTGAATTGCCTTGTGCATGGATTGTGCTCTACAAATAATCATGCATCACCACAGAGTAATAAAATGTCCTCAGGAGTGGCCCCGCACACTCCTAAGACCCGTGTCTCTTCAGCAGCTAGAGCTTCCTCAAGAGCGCGTCTGTGTTGTAAGTCCAGTCCAGTTTGTTGTTCAGATTATGGTTGTTGATCACCACTATGGATTCTACAATCTCCATTTTCATCCTTAGATCAAAGCAGCAGCATTCACATGTAAAATAAGGCTGCTCCTTCTCATTATACCGTAGGTGTCTGTGTGTCATCTCTCGTCTCCTGCATCTTCATAGGCTCCATATTCCTGATGCAAATACCTGTTTTCACTGTCAATCTTCTCCTGATTCTGTTCCATGTAAAGCGCCTTGTTTCAACCACAGCTTTTGTGTCTGTTGCTTTATCTCCTCTCGTTGTTATCCCTCGCCCTGTCCTCCCACATTTGTCATCCCATGTCTGCAAAACAAAAGAAAAATAAGCATTCATGTTGAGAGATGGGGTTATTAATATGCAAGAAGTTTGTTTTAATCATTTGAAATTCATAATTCAAAGTCAAGACAGTGGCTGAGTGTTAACACCCAGTCAATAATCACTTAATCCGTCAATAAATATACCAGATGCTTAAAACGGAGGATTCTTTGTGCGCAAAAAATACTAATTTGCCAAATGTATAAGACAGTAGAGTTGATTGCGTTGTTACATGTGTGGTGGCGGCTGTGTTATTGTTCACTGGGTTAAATCAGGTCAGATTAAGAGCATTGTCCCTTGGGCTGACCTCATGTATGGAAACTCCAATAGACACCAATACTGTCCAGTCATGTGTGATAGCTGACAGTTACAAGTGACGCCTGCTCTCATCTAAATAGAATCACTCACAAAACACTTAACGTATGTTCATAAAGGATGAAAATATGGCCTGGTTCCTGCATTTCAAGTGTATCATTGTTTTTGAGTAAACAGATGTGTACTGCTTAGACTTTGGGAATATATGATGTAACCGGGAGGATGAGTCAGTATGTGCCTTCTAAGGGTTATGTATTGGATTAATTGTTCATTCAATATGAGGCAGCATTTCTGATTTATGCAGCAAAAATCTGGAACAGTCTTCCTGAAAATGTGAGAAAAAGTGTGAGAGGCTTCTTCTCTGACAGTTCTGTTGCAGCTGTGCATACAACTGTGGATTTTATTTTCACTATTGTTTATGTTCTGTGATTATTTATGATTTTAATGCCTTGAGTTGCATTTTGACCTTCAGCACTTTGAGTGGCCTTGCGTATGAACTGTGCTATACAAATAAACTTGCTGTGCCTTGTCTATGAGTGGCCCTGGCAGAACAAATTAGAAATCAGTGATGGACTATTGGAAATGTTGTGCACATGTAATTGGCAGTTTGATCATCTGACCTCTTTAAACCTAATCACTCTATAGTGTTTGGAAACACAGCTGTGCTGCGCTGGCTAATGTCCATGCTCGCTATATAAAGATGTAATTACCAAGACACAACAACACCAGACACGAAATATGCTTATTGGTCCCTTTCTCTCATTAAAGGACTTTCTATTTATCGGAGTGCCTCGGATTTTACCCTGTTTTTACTTTTCCACAGAAAGGGTATCTTTGTTTGCTATGCTTATTATTTGTTCCTTCACTAATGCACCACCATGTTGCCTTACCATGTAAACCGCCTTCCCTCACTCAGGAACGTTGAACCAGAAGCTTTGGGGGCAGCGGTACCCGACCTGTAACAGCGCTCGTCAGTCTCCAGTGGATGTGGACGAGACCTTCACTCAGGTGCGACTGCAGTACCAGAACCTGCAGCTAGAGGGCTGGGAGCGCCATATAGCAGAGAGCAGCGTGGTCCGCAACAACGGGACAACAGGTACTGTGTATCAGATTGTTGAGCCTCATTCTGAAGTATAAACAATTACTCTTAGTGCAGTTGCAAACGGGAAATTGAGGAGACAGAGGCGAGTGCAGAGGACTGGATCTGGTTCTGGTTCTGGATCTGGTTCTGGTTCTGGTCCATGTCAGTTCACTGTTCGGCTGGTGCCAACGTCCGGGCCTGTGTCTGAATGTTGCCTTTGGCTATGGCTGGATGTGTTCCTTGAAATTAAATATTAGTAATTGATAAGTTCTTCCACAAAACCATAAATAAATCTTTAAAAATGATCATGTATTTATAGTCTAGTTTTGAATTATACCTTTTATTTGCTTTAAGCTTCACAATCTTTTTCACAGTGTGAAGGTGTCAGGATGGTAATTTTAGGACACTTTGTCCTAAAGCTATTTCAGCAGCCACTCCTGCCCTGGGGCTGATCATTGCAAATGTGCCTTCTCCCTTTACTATACATGACCTAATTCAGTGCACAGTACATGTCCATCAGGTAATGATGTGAAGCTGCATTATTTCCCATCATGCTCTAGGATTACTGTAATCCTTTTCATTTTATCTTCATTGAATGTCTTGGCTTTTTTTTATGAAAGATGAAATGGGACATTAGAAATTTTGAATAGATGAAATTATAGCATGAAATAATCCCCATCAGAGAGGTTCTTATCTTCAAAACAAGATGGAAATCTTTGCTACAGCTTAGTGAAAGAGGGTTTGGAAATGTACACAGACAAAAGAGCATGAGGAGGATAAGATAGAGCTGAGATCAGATAAACTATCTATAAAAGTCAAATAGGAACATGTTTTGAATGTTAAGTGAACATTATTGTATGTGTTTCAGTGGTGATAGATGTTGGAGGAGAGTTCTTTGTGAGCGGAGGAGGCCTGAGCGGCCGCTTCAGAGTGGGTCGTCTGTCCTTCCACTGGGGGCACTGTAACTCCACATCAGAGGGCTCTGAGCACAGCCTTAACGGGATGAAGTACCCTCTGGAGGTATTATAACTATTTTTACTATCGCTAAGCATTATTATGATGTTAACGTTCCCTTGCCTTCGTCTTGTTCAGATGCAGATGTACTGTTTTGATGGCGACAGATTTCAAAGCTTAGATGAAGCCATTGCCTCAGAAGGAAGAATCGCTGCTCTGGCTGTGCTCTTTGAGGTCAAGGCAACTTTATCCTTGTTCTGTTAATCCAGTTAATGTTTCTTCTGAAAAACACAGTGACACTGAATATTCTGCACCTGCCAATAAATCCTAAAGTATTGTAACTTTGAAAACTTTGACATTAAAAATTAAAACCATGATTTTGATTTTCCTTTAAGGAATAGTCAAATGTATTTTTGTAAACATACTCATGTCAAATTCTGCGTCCACAGACCAGTCTGGATGAAAATGGGAATATGACGGCTGTGGTAGATGCTGTGAACACTGTAACTCGATTTGGTAAGATCCACAAACAATGTAATTATTTGTCTTGATTTTTTTCAAATAAAATAAATAATAACAATAATAATAATACAAATTTTAACCAATTTAGTAAAATAGTGGGTAACCTTCTTTTCACAGCATTTCTTTAATTCATAGGATACTGCCAAAGAGTGGAAATATCTCATCTAATTTTGACTTTTTAAACCAGCCAATCTAAGACATTAATGGCTGTGGTAGTTTGTACATTGACAGTTTATAACATAGTCTCCTCTTCTTTCTTTATCGTTATTTATCACACCCTGTCTGTTTTCCCTCAGGTAAGACGGAGCCCATTGATACGTTTCCCCTGCGCTCGCTGCTGCCTCTCAACACAGAGAAATACTACATTTATAACGGCTCGCTGACCGCTCCGCCCTGCTCCGAGACCGTGGAGTGGATCATCTTTAAGCACACAGTTCCAATCTCAGAAACACAGGTCGGTCCACAGAAAATACACCTAGTAAAGTCATCAAACTTTGAAGTATTTTTCACTACTGAAGATGTTGGTTTTATAGCGTTGGAGCTCTTGTTGTCTAATTGTATAGTCTCATGCTTTGTTTTTCTTGGTTTGAGGTCATTTCATCCAAACATGAGGCATGAATAAAACACTATTCATAAAAATATTTTCAAAACAAAGAATATACTTTAATATTTTACATTTTTCATACCATTTGAAGTTCAATTATATACAGTACTCTAAGGGAGTGGGCGCTGCGCTCCCTTAGAGATAGGGTGAGGAGCTCAGTCACACAGGAGGAGCTCGGAGTAGAGCCGCTGCTTCTCCATGTCGAGAGGAACCAGTTGAGGTGAATCTGGCATCTTTTCCGGATGCCTCCTGGACGCCTTCCTGAGGAGGTGTTCTGGTCATGTCCCACCGGGAGGAGGCCCCGGGGAAGACCCAGGACACGCTGGAGGGACTATGTCTCTCAGCTGGCCTGGGAACGCCTTGGGGTCCCCCCGGACGAGCTGGAGGAAGTGTGTGTGGATAGGGAAGTCTGGGCGTCTCTGCTTAGACTGCTGCCCCCGCGAGCCGGCAATGGATGAAGCGGAAGAAAATGGATGGATGGATGGATATATACAGTACTTTAATTCTTTAATTATAAATTATAAATATAGAGTTATTATAAATTAGAGTAATATAAATTATAACATACTTATATACAACGCTTCATATTTCGTAATTATATTAGCTAAAGTTAAGCAATCATGTTCCATATTTTAAATCGCTAAAATGCCCAAAAAATTAGAAAATGTTTTACTATTTTTGCATTGTCCTCTCGCGTCCTGCGTTCGAAGTGTCGATGATCAATGTGTCCTGCAATTCACATTAGTTCTCGCAGCTAGCTGCGTTCTTCATCGACGCACGAGCCGAGTGATCCACCGCTAAGAGTTGTTCAGTTTTGGGGTTTTTTGTTTCCGAGAAAGGCCACTGGGACTCTGGAAGATGAGGGGTCGCCTGGAGGCAACTGGACCCCGCGGGCACTCCCTGTCCCAGGGCCCCCCGGAGGGGTCCCTGGTCGAGGAGACTTTAGTACCCCCCGAGGCGAGCGTTGGGTACCCGCGGGTGGCGCGGGGGGGCTACAAAAATGCTGAAATTATCCTTCAAATGTCTAAATGAATAAAAGTCTCATAAAACACATATCACGGGCCTGATCCATCAAACTTCCTCCTCTCACCTGGTTCTGTCCTTCTTTGTGAGCCTCATTCTGAAGTAGAGTAAATGAATAAAAGATAAAAGTGATGCACTAATGCGTGTCCTAAAGAGGACAGCTGTATATTCATCTTTAAACAATTATCTGGGGAACAGCCATGAGCTTTTAAACTCATATATACTTTTATCAGTTTTTGGAAATTACCCAGTTTATTAGCTACGTACAGTATATAACGCAGTATTTACTTTAATTTCTCTTTAAGGAAATTTCAATGGCTTTCCCCTCATTCTGGGTCGTGTCCTTAGATCATTATTCAGATTGCATCTGTGCAGAGCTTGCTCTGGCTGAAGGTTTCCCAGGGCCTTTGTGCTTTGAACTCCTTTTCGTTTTGTCCGTACTGGATCTTCTCAAGCCTATCATTCATCTTTGGTACTTTTTTACTATATTACATCCTGTACAGGGGTCTCAAACTCATTTTGGTTTTGGGCCAAATCTCAAAACATGAAGCAAACACAAAAGTGTAAAAGTGGTATAAACGTGTTTTGTTTAGTTTTTTTTTACATATTTTTGGCTTTTGATAAATTAACTGTATTTGAGATAAGTTTATATATGATTTTACAAATATCAATAAGTATTAAAACAGTGATAGTTAAAAAAAATAAAATGAGCAACTACAGTATAACTATAAAATAATTAGGTTTTCTTTCTCAGTTTTTAGTTTTTTAATTAAGGCCTCTACAAAATGTTTTGAGATACAGCTTAAATGTGCCTAAATCCAAATGGTATAGATTCCCCAATGAGGTAGATTCCAGTTCCAAGCAAATGAGCAACTATAAAACAAGGGGCTTTAAAATTAAGTATAACAGGCCATAGTAGCCCCTAACCATCAATGCTGCAAGTTACTGTGATAAAGATAGTTGAAAAAACGGTCAAACTTTAGTTTAGCGCTCAACTCTTAATTGGTATTTTGCTGATTAAGTTGTTTTTTTCTTTCGCTTCAGTTGGAATCGTTTTGTGAAGTGCTGACCCTGGAGCAGTCCGGATACGTCATTCTCACAGATTACCTCCAGAACAACTTCAGAGTGCAGCAACAGCAATTCACGGGGCAGGTGTTCGCCTCCTACACCGGAGTCGAAGAGGTCCTCACTCCAAGTATGACAACATGCATTTGATATGAGCTGTGCTGTGTGCTGTGTAGTAACAGTTGTAAATGTGCTTTATAGATACATTTGATACTTTATACACACACGCATATTGAAATAATTGCTATTGTTTAGGCATTATTATTTGTAGTGTGTAACTATTGCACTTTATACAGACTTCAACAATAAGCTGGATATATGTGGGAGGGAGGAAGAGGTGTCTCTGGCTGGACTGCTGCCCTCACGACCAAGCGATGGTTCAGTTCAGTTCAGATTTAGTGGAGCTCAGAGCAATATATCCAGTTGATACAACAAAAAAGACACTGTTTGTATAAGTGCTATATAAAGCTCCAAAGGTGTAGGCAGAAGTAAAATTACTTTTAACGCCTCCCCCTCCTAGCATAATTGAATTAAGTGATCTAAGGCAGAATAATATATGTAAACATTTCAGAAGAACTGGAGTCAGAGAAGTGCATAAATACAATTCAGATTTACCTGAGTGAAGAGTAATTAATAAGTAAAGAGTAAGAAAACAGATGGATCGATGTTGACTCAAAGGTAGTAATAGTTTTTTGTGGATTCCCATTAGGTTCCAAACATCTACAGCATGAGGTTCTTATGTGATTCCAAAAACAGTTTGGTCTCTTGGTTTTGGGCATTGAGGCAAAGTGATTAGAGCTGTCACTTTTCTGCAAAAAAGTATTTGGTTCAACTCCCATTGCATATTGGAGTTTGCATATTCTCCCTGTGTCTGCATGGGTTTCACAGAGATACTGCAGTTGTCATCAAAGAACTGTGTGGCTACAGGTTTTCATTCAAGTTCAAGTAGAAGAATGCAAAACAGATGTTGTAAAGTCTTAATCTGAAGACAGAATTCAATGGAATGAAAACCTGCCACCATACTAACATGTGTGAAGACCGTTGCTCTACCAGTATAAACATTTACAATAAAACCTATGGATGGACACTTACCTCAAGCTAACTCCATTGTATTTACATCAGTAGCTGTTCATTAGTAAACATTGTCTTATTCAAATTAAAATAAATAGACATTCTGTCCATCTGATGAACTGGTCTTTTCCTGTAGCCTGCAGCTCGGAGCCTCAGAACGTGCAGGCGGATGCTCAGAATGACACGACTCTAGTGGTGACGTGGGAGAGGCCCAAGGCGGTCTACGACACCTCCATCGACTGGTACCTGGTCACGTATCAGAGGCTGCAGGGGCCGCCGCAGAGCCGACAGGAGTACAGGACTGACGGGGACCAGGATGTGGTGAGAGGAGAGGATTCTGCATAGATATGCAGAATCTATGCAGAATGCAGGAGAGGATAATCAGATATGACCAAGTGTGCCAGGAAACACTAGATACAAAACAGGACACTTTTCCACAAAGTTTAGTTATAAGTAACCATATGCATTTAATGTGGTTTAACTCTTTGATGTTCACTCCTTGAAGAAAGCATTTTTTTGTTCTAAGATGTTGAGGCACTACTAACCAAAATAATTAGGTTTTCTTTCTCAGTTTTTAGTTTTTTAATTAAGGCCTCTACAAAATGTTTTGAGATACAGCTTAAATGTGCCTAAATCCCAATAGTAGAGATTCCCCAATGAGGTACATTCCAGTTCCAAGCACGCTTCAAGTAGATAGTGACTCAAAAAGGGATAAAATGAGTTGAATTAAATTTATTTATGGGTTTGCAAAGGATGAATGAACACATACTCAGCCACCGTGCCTGAGTCGATAGCTCTCACTCTCGCCTCTCAGCAAGAAGGTCCTGGGTTCGAATCCCGGTCGTAAACGGGGTCTTTCTGAGTGGAGTTTGCATGTTCTCCCCGCGCTTGCGTAGGTTTCCTCCGGGCACTCCAGTTTCCCCTACCGCTAAAAACATGCACACTAGCTGTACTACGGCGACCACTGCTCCTGACGTAAGCCTTAGTGGCATCGGGTCAAATGCAGAGGATGGATTGCCCTACGGGGATCAATGAAGTGCACATTTACCTTTTATAGAACAACAGAATGTCATGTGGGTAAAAAACGCAGAACTGCAAATATAATGGATTTAATAAAAGCAAACACAACACCAAAATCCAGAGTAAACCCAAAAAGTAACCAAATAAAGACTGACAGTGAGAATTGAAACAAACACAGAATGACAGGAGCACACAGGGTCTAAATACACTAACGACTAACGAGACACAGGTGAGACACAAGAGGGCGGGGCAGGGAATCAGGAACAGGAAGTAGAACTAAAGAGGACACAGGAGTTAACTAATTACAAAACAAAACAGGGAATAAACCTAAACCATGACAAAAAAACAAAATGAACGTATCTCAAAAAGGTAATGTGAAGAAGTACTGTGCTTTCTCTTACCTGTGATTTCCTTTATTTAGTTGTTTAGAGTCAACATTATACACACATTATAGAACTATAAACACATCCACATTACAAAACCTGACATGTGTGTTTTTATTTGCAGGGCGCGATCATCTCCAGCCTCTCGTCCAACAGCAGTTACGTGGTGCAGGTGGTGTCTGTGTGTATCAACGGGCTCAGAGGGAGGTGGAGCGACCAGGTCATCGTGGACATGCCCCGAGAGGATCCTGGTGGGTTTAAGATCGTTTCAGGCACTTATACAAGTGTTTGAATGTAATATCATTTCATCAACATGTTTTAACAACAACATTTATGGACATTGGTAATCCGCCCCTTATGGACCAAAGGCTTTGTGTTTTTGATCGTGGCATTTTCTGTGTTTGAACTGTTTGATTCTCTGATCTGTGTTGGTGAATTCAACGATTTTGTAAAGTCCTCTGAGATAACTACTGTAGTGATTTAGGGCTATACAAGAGTAAATTGAATTGAGTTGAATTATTTGGACTGCGCAAGGCAACAATGAATGTATTTATTTCATTCCTTTCATTTATATTTCATTGATGTTTTAGTATTTTATATGTTTATAATTACAGTATTCACACACAGTGCACAGTGTGTGACTGTGGGACAACAGATGCAAATTAGCCCAAGACTACAATCCGGAGAGGTGTGTTCAGCAACATGCACTGACCCAACCAACCAAACAATAAATTCATTTTTAAAAGTTTTTTTTTTTAATCCATCTCCCTTGAGGCCGAAAAGTTTGATTCCCACTTTCTGCCAGGTCTACTTTGGGTACGGACTTTCCTCTTGTTTTCCTTCAGTGTGCATGAGTTCTCGCACACATATGTTTTCTCTGAATGTTTGAATAGTTTATTAGTGTAAAGTGCTTGTATAACTGATGAGCAATGACCATTTAATTTGGATTTTGTTTGGTTTTTTAGAGGCCGATTCGGATTCAGAGCTTGTCACACTGGAAACTGTCCTCAACAAAGAGGTATAATTGTTTAAGTTCTTATTTTTATCTGTTTGGGGAATAATGTGTTTTGATTATTTTGTATGAAAAGGGAAAAATATTACAAAACAAAATTTCAAAACTCATATGTCCAATAGTGACTTGAATTTACTGTATTTATGGTTTTATAATGAGATTTTTTTAATGTATTATTTTGTCACTTATTATGCATGTGCAGCACTTTCTAAACTGTCTAGTGTGCTATATGAATAAAGTTTATTTGAATTTATATCATTAAATCAGACAAGTTCCACAAGGAAAGGCTGTTTGGTTCATGCCATTTAGTTTTCCTCAACAGCTTCAGCACAAAGTCATTTTCTTCAAAGAATGAGATGCAAATTGTAGGTAATAATTGAACCAGCCTGTCACAGTGCTCTGAGTAAAAGGGTTTTAAAGAGGAGTATTACAGCAAAAGAAGAAAATGTAATTACGTCCACGAGTGTAATTTTCTCCTTTTGTGCCTTATCATTACCAACACATGAAGGTTGGTTATAGAGGAAAAAAACACTGAACTATCAAACGATAAATGTATAGATTATCATTTACTGAGCATTGTTGCAAGAATAATTCTACTACTACACAACTGCTATGTCCATTACTGTGCTACCCATAATGTCCTTAAATACAAATATAAGGGCTATTTTGTACTTCTGTTACGTACTGTTACTATTGTACAGCATACTATTGCTTTGTTCTACTACAGCTGCTTTTAATTCTACTGTTAATACCATTTTACTGCTACAGAAGTAGTAGTAGTATTCTTATCTTCTATTCCAATTCAGTAGTTGTCATGATGCTAGATTGAGATTCCAAATAAACAAGAGCTGTCCTCATTTACTGACAGCACATTGTGTCCTAGGTGTTCTCTAACCCAAACTGGGAGAAGGAAAAGACCCAGCCCCAGTTGAACGTGTCTCCAGAAGACCACAGTCCAGTAGAGGAGGTCCCACTGGAGCAGACCAAGGTCTACCAGAACCTGCCCAGACCTGGTCCCGATACAGGAACAAAGTTCAGACTGAACCAGAATGTGAAGAAGTCCCAAGAACCAAGCAAGACTCGAGACCAGGGTTTGAACTCTATAGAGGAGCCGGAGAGGGTCCCACTGGGCTTTGGTCCAGGTTTAGACCCAGGATTTGGGGGAAATGGTGCCATATGGATCCAGGAACCAACAGAGCAGCCTGGGTTTCTGTTTCCTGTGGCCAGAACAATAGCTGAGAGCCCAAGCAACAGGAGAAAAATCACAGAGGAAGCATCACTGGCTGTGTCCCAGGTAAAACTAAATCAGGCATTACACAATATATTAAGTAGTTTGTTAAAGAATGGTATTACATGTTAATATATATATATATTTATCAACACATTACCTTTTGCAAGGTAATATTAGAAAATATGATGAATTTCATACCTATTTCCGATTCATTTTTGGCTGGTGAGCCTTGGACATGATATGACAGGGCATCGTGCAAGAGATCCAAATCCCCTGGAGAAAATAGTTACTTTCTCAGACAGGCTCTGGGTCCGCTCACTCAATACAATAAGAAGTCAATTTTTTTTACTTTTTCATTGCTTTCACTCCACAAGTGACATTGTGTTCAAAAGGGGGGAATTCATTGTTGATTGTTGAACATCTATTTTGCGCACTTGCTAACAGTGGCACTAACAGGAAACAACGGAGGGGGTGCCCAAAGTACCACTACATCTAATGGCATGACCATCCAAATGAGAAAGGAAATACTTTTACCTTTTATTACCACATTTGGTATTGGATCACCGTCTGGATCCAGGATTGTGTTTAAAAATGTCACACTGCCTTTTGGTGGAGGTCTGTGCTCTACAATCTTTACTAAAAGGCTGTGCACAACAACTGGATCCCTGGATTACTCCACATAAAATAAGTGCTTGAGATGAGACATTTGTATGCTGTTCACATTGTTCCTGTATTTCTCTGTGTCTTGTCACCAGACCTATGACATGGATGCTACAGACACGTTCACTCCACTCTCAGAGGACTCCTTGGTCACTGATGTGTTTTATGAGGACACTCTCCCCGTCTCCAAACCAGAAAACACCACTGCTCCTGTCACAAATACTCCAGGTTATCTTCATTCCCATCTGCTAGAAATTTATGTTACCCATGTGTTGTATCAAGTACTGTAATTTTTGTACGCTAAGTACTTTTTTCGTTTCTTTGAACTCAGCGGCCTTTACAGCGATGCGGCCAATGTATGTATTTTATTTTGTGAGGAAAAGACTGAGATACAGCTCTCGCAGCTGATGACGTAGCACACATTCCTACATCCAGATATGTATATGTGAACAGCAGAGAGAGCCCATACAAGAAAGTGCAAGGAAATACACAGGAGTCGTTTTTTATGTGATTAGGGCTATTGACAGACTGGCGACAGTAGCTCAGTTGGTAGAGCATTGGCCTTAAGGCCAGAAGGTCGTGGGTTCAATTCCCACCTCTGCACCTTCTCCACCGACTCCCACTGATGACTGCTGTTGTTGGGCAAGACACTTAACCCCACTTTGCCCAAAAAAGCCCCCACTGAAAGATCAAGGCTATACTCACTCAGAGAGCAGCCGTCCTCCTGTGGACTCACCACCTGCAGAGGGTCAGTGAGGATCAGTGAGGGGCTGGTGCTATGAGACTTGGGTGGCATCTCTGATTGCCACCCCCCTGACCCAGAAATGGATTAAAGGGCAGAAAATGGATGGATGGATGGGCTATTGACAGAACAGTTTGTCAGTTTTTACTCCATCAAGTTCTAGTAGTGATGTGACGCACGATCGTTGTCAAAATAAATGTATTTACTTGAGTGCTTTGATCATCCTGAGTCAACAGTTAAGTGCAGCTTTTTTTCAAGTGTAGTTTATATGTAGACAAAATACTTTCTCTTAAAATGTAGCATGGTGCAATTTATATACAGGTGCGGTTAAAGGTCCAGCGAGTCGTGTATACAGTATAGTTCCTGGGTTGCCTTTGTGTGATCATGCTGCCCCTGTGTCTCCTACCCTGAAGCTTTGGGCCTTATTTAGTTCTGATGGTGACAAATTAGTCTGTCATCTGTCAGAGGCCTCTCCAGTCTCTGTGATTTAAAATGTCACTTTGTATTATCAAATTAAGATTTTAAATGCTGCACCACTTTGAAATGTCAGGTCAAATTAGAGTGTTTTTTGTCTACACTGTTCACTCCAAATTTGTTCAACAATTTGAGCGTGGCATATGTAATAATGGGATAATTGACGGATACAGTTTTTATTTACGTCTTTGGTCCTAATGCCACTTTCCAACTTTATATTGTGCCTCTGTCCTTGATTAGATGTATAAATATGTTGTTCATATTGATGTGGTCAGGCTTGATTACATAATGTTTATCGTTACTATGGCAGCATGTCACCAAACATATGGGCACTATACAACAAATGTGTCCGTCACGTGATTGGACAGATACAGTATGTGTGCCACAGTCATACTAGGGATATGCTGAAGTGTCTTGCCTAAGGACACAACAACAGGCTCTAGTTAACCCAGATCTACCCAGACCCCTGACTTGAGCCTCAGGGAGGATATACTAGAATCATAACAGGAAGAATATCAAGTATCGACTTGGTTTGGGTCAGATGTGGTGAAATCTTGGTATTTTTGTCTAGTTTCATTGTTTATTAAAATTAGATCACAATAGAATGGGACCAAATATGATTTTTTTGCATTTTACTGTTGAGGCTGTTCTTCATTCAGACTTATTTTGATCTAATGCACTTGTCCACAGACTCTGCGGGCTCAGAGTGGATTCCTGACAGAGACACCACAGTCAGTCACTCTTTGGTCCATTCTGTTTACAAACCCTTCACGTCCTCGTCGCTGCTGCGTGTCCTCATGCACACCACACAGTCTATGTTCACAGGTAACATCTTTCTCTGCTACATCTATCTACAATAAAAACCTTACTGTGCTGGATGGCCTGTGTTCCCAAAATGAATCTTACACAGTGCTTGAATCTATATTTATTTCAAGTTACTCGCATTGTAATGGACTTTTAAAATGTAGGGTTAGGAATTTCACCCGTGATCTTTTTGATTGCTCTTTTAATTTGCTCAGCTTTACAGTCCAAAAATATTTCCACAAATGTCACCAACTTTGCATAATTTTCCAGAAACCACATTCATTTTGGCAAATTGAGTATTTTTCTTTAGAAGCAAATTCACAAATGCCTCCATCCATCTGCACAATGTTGTTGTACATGAGGTATGAGTCACTTACGAACCTTGCTCAGCCTCTGCATGAAGAATTTCAACTGTGGGATATGATTGTGGTCTACTGTCTCCTCTGATGCTTCTGTCTGCTGCACTCAGCCTGATTGTATTCTAATAGCAGCCTGTTTTCCTCTGATAAAGAGAGAAAATGCTTGGACGGTTAGACTCCTTCTTCTGGACTTGAGCACATTCTTCTGAGGCGCTGCAGGAGCCACTTAAGCCCACTCTCTGCCTTTATTTCTCTCCTCCTTTATCTGTGGGGGATTTCGCTGCTTGTGGACTGCCCTCTGGTGGTGGCTTTCTCACAGGGTTCCCACAACTGATGCAAAAGAAATTAGTGTAAATTGGAGGAAAAACAAATAGATGAACCATAATATTTATATAATGTACAGTAGTGTTAGTCTGAAAAATGTGTTAGGTTTTACTATTCATGGATTTCAAGGTGGTGCTATTGTTGTCATAGCAATTTTAGCAATTGGATTCTATATTAGATCAATCAGTAAGATCAAATGTTTTTAAAATGTCACCTACTGTACACCAGGTATCAAGTGAAACATTTCCAATGCCTGATTAAAGGGGCGCTCTTAGTGTTGTAGTAAAGTCATTACAATTATAACCCAACTTTTGTTCGCCATAATTCTTCTACCTTTGACACATGTAGCTATGAAGCAAAGATTACTGATACAAACCACCTGCCGGAGTTTACCTAGAAATAATACAAACTCTTTGTTTTACATATGACCACCTATTTTTGTATCTGCTTTAATTTAAACAAATGTGTGGTTCTGTTTTTTGTCATAAATATACAAAATAGCGTAAACTTTGACTTGTTTGCACTGAGAGCCAAAGCAATTTCCTAGTTTGTGACTTCCTGTTACTCACATGGCAATAAAAGGATTCTGATTCTGATTCTGACACCAGCAACAAACGGCAACCAAGATGAGAGACTCATTCTACCCTTTAAATGGGTAAAGTGCTTGGAAATCCTAAACACAATTATTGATGTCCATTGTATTTGTAATTCAGAATAACTCCAATTAAAACTTTTTTCAAAAAAGGCCAATGTTTATGAATAAAATGGCTCGATCTGAAGAAGAATGTGGGAACCCAGTTAGTTTAAAATAATCAACTTCTTTCTTTCTTTTTCTTCGATGAAAGGATCCCTTTTCGAGTCTCCTATTTCAGTGCTGGTATCAAGGCTCATAACTCTTGACTTGTTTTTCAGTCAATACAGCCATGTCTGCTATTAAGGAACCCAACCAATCTCAAAATCTGGAGACTTTGGCTCAAGAAACTGCAGCCACTGAAGTTAATCCTCCCTTGAACGATTATGGGAGCGGTGTCCCTGGTTCCTTTGAGGTCACTGAGAGTTCAGCTATGTTCTCCAAAGAAATCCATTCCATATCTTCAACATCTCCACAGCAATCCACAACGACAGGCACTTCTTCAAATGGACTTTTAGGGTTTGGCTTTGAAGAACAGCAGCAAGGGGACAGGAAATTTAACGCAGTGAAATCATTGTTAGATTTGTTGCAATTTTATGATGATTCTCAAGAACTTGGCTCATCTATGCAAGGCAGTGGAACTGGAGCTGTGATAAGTGAAGAGATGACTTCTATGAACATCCTTAACAGTAGGAGAAGAACAGGGGATGCTTTACTGTATTCAAATGTGACACAAGTTTATGTTTATGATGTGGAAGGATCTTCGAGTGGGATTTTGAACTCGTTTGAGGATGCCAGCGGCTCAGGAGCTTTGGATAATGTCACTGAACAGCCAAATAATACTAAAGCAACTCAAGAAGCAAGTAGCAAAGAAAATCCACAGAAAGCAGAGATGTTTGAAAGTAACAATGGCAGCTCAATTGGAGAAATGGAGGTGGTTTTTGAGGTGCAGTCGGGCCCTGGTTTGGACTCAGAGTTGTTGGACGGACTTGTATCTTTGCCCAAATTCACAGAAGCCTCAGAGGAGAGAGGAACTACAGGCAAAGGTATGCAAGCCATTGAAATATGTGCATCTGGTGCAAAATAATAACAATTTATGTTATTTAGGATTTTGTTTGGCACTCATTTCTATATTATACAGACATGACAATTATTTGTCTTGGCTTTCCTTATAACTAGTCAGAAATAGCTTCAAACCAGTAGCCAAGTAAATGTATCTTATTTGAGAGTTTGTTTTTGCAGTGTCCAATGTATACAGTTGGACCATATCACTTCATTTTATACATACAAAGGTTTTATCACTTTGAGATTTCTTTGACATGTAAGGTACAATATATATAGGTAATATATTGTTGTTATTATTATCATTATTATTTTTAATAATAATACATAGTACATAACACTTGATTAAGGCTTTTGTGTCCCCTAAAGACGTATAGGTATAGCTTAAAAATATTATATATATATATATATTTCCCTAAATAAATCTATCCACATTAAATCAATATATTACATTATTATTTATTATCATTATTATTCAAAAATAACATAAAACAATTGGAAAAACTGCATACTTTTCATTATTATACAGTAATTTGTCAAGCAGAAATCTATGCATTAAAAAATGCTGCTTGAATTTTAATGATCATGTTATGTTGAAATTAAATTATTGATGAATTTGCCTTTTTCCTTCACCGTTTCCCTCTATCACATTACTTTGTATTGATATCATGTTTTTGCGGAGCACATGTGACTATATAGGGACATGGCCTGATGTCCGGTGTGTGTCTCCAGAGAGCAGTAACAGCAGCCATGAGTCTCGGGTGGGCTTAGTGGCAGTGGACTCAGAGAAGAGGACTGTGGTGCCTTTAGCGGTGGTCTCTACTCTCACCATCTTGTGTCTGCTGGTGCTGCTGGGGATACTCATCTACTGGAGGTAAATACAAACAACTATACCCACCGATCTGTATTTTATTCTTTTTGACAGCAGTGTTTGCAAATGTATTGTTAATGTCGCTTAAAATGTGCCATACAATTAAAGTGGATTGGATATGATGTATTTCTATTGTTTCATGAAAGATCACCACAAAGTGTAGTAGTTAAAGTGCCTAAAGTGTAGAGTGAAAGTAACATGATTAAAGGATTTCAGTATTTAGTGGGGCTTGCAAAAGTATTTAGTCCCCTGTTCTTTGATAGCAACCAATAGGCTTTAGAAGTGTCCTGATGATGGATGAATCCTCAAACATGACATCAAAGTAGCACCTTTATAAGTGCCGGTGAATAATTGTGTCCACGTTGCCACTTCCTGCTCCTTCTTCACGCTCTTCTTCCTCTGCTGCATAGAAACTGTTTCCAGACTGCAGATTTCTACCCAGACGACACTGCATCTCCTAAAGTGGTGTCCGCTCCCTCCACGCCGCTGCTGCTGGCCACGGGTACTTTATTATTTCTGAAAGCCTAACTGCCGATCTTTCACGGTGCTTTTAAAATGTGTATTTTGGAAAATTTTGAAAAAGGTCTTTGAGATTAAATTGGGAAATTGGTGTTAATGATAACTCTATTATTATTATTATTATAACTCTTCTCACCTATTCTACATTAGTTTGATAGAAACCTATTTCTGTTGCAGATGGACATGAGCCACTGACAGTGAAGCAATTTGTAAAACACGTTCTGGAGCTCCATGCGTCCAACGCCTTCTCCAAAGAGTTTGAGGTGAGACGCGTTGTTATAGTATGACAATTGTTCTTCATGATTGATTAGAGTTGTGCGTTCTCCTAAACCTTTAGGGCTGATATAGCAAAGTGTATGTCCACTAACCTCTTCACTTTACCACTTGATGATTCAGGGACAGATTTGGAAAAGAACCAAATCTGTCCTAACTGTGCCCAATTAAGTTATTTTGATTATAGTTTTTTGTCAATACAATGATAGCACAACCTTGCAGACATAAGCCCTGTTGCTGCTAGATACGGCACCTTATACTAAAGTGTAATGGAAACGCAACCAGGTAGAGCCGAGTAGGGCTAGTGGAAACAGAGCCAAACTGACTGTGACTAGTGACTATTGCCCATGTTCATTCTGTGTGTTTTGTGAAGCCCATTTTCTTTCCTGAAGTACTGACCTGTGTTTGTGTGTTGCCTCCGGCCTTCCCTCTCCCCCGCCACCTCCTCCTCATCGTCTGCATCTCACCTCCCTCCATTAGATTCTCACTGAGTTCTCAGAGGTAAGAGCCACCAGCCCAGTTCTTTCAGACTTCTTTATTAGAACTAACATCTGTACATTTCCCATGTGACGCTCATCCTGTTCTCAAATGTCAACTTTTCTGGTGCAGGCCAATCCACTTGTTTCCATGGAGATGGTTTTGCAATGTCTGTAATGGTTCACAGTCGCATTGCTTTGTACATGTGGCTAGGTACTTCCTCCAGGTCAAAGTGACATGTCAGAGCTGTGGAGAGGCAGCATTGGCATTGCATAAATGTGCTGTATAAATATATAAACTATAAAACTATATACAACTGTTGCTGATCAAGCCACACTCATTTCTGAAATTGAACAAATCATACTTTTCTGAAAATATATTTAGAATATTCAGCTAACAGTATTCATAGATAGAACAATAGAACACTAAATTACTATAATAATTGTTGGCTGTAGCCCTAGTTGTATTTCATATTTTTTTATCCAAGAAGCCTTTCAAGATCATGCAAAAGTAATCTTTTTAAGCAATTTTTTTCATGTTTTTGAAAGCTGCAAAACTCCTCAAATTATAAAGTTGAACCTAGTCAGGTTTGTGTAAGCACTCAGTCGTACAGGGATTAGTCAAAGCAAAGGAAGGTTTCTCACCCATCATCTGTACTTCTTAGCAAGTTTTCCAGACGTTTCGTCCTCAATCCAAAGGTCTTCTTCAGGGACTTCCTCCCTGAAGAAGTCCCTGAGAGTCCAAAGGACTTCTTGAGGACGAAACGTTGGGAAAACCTGCTAAGAAGTACAGATGATGGGTGAGAAACCTTCCTTTGCTTTTAACCTAGTCAGGGTTACATCAGAATGAAGCCAAGTCAAATCAGATGTACAGTTGGTACAAGGATAATGAATTACAAATGTTATTTTCTGTAATTTCAGGAAGTGCAAGCGTGCACTTTGGAGATGGGCATCACCTCAGACAGCTCCAACCACCCAGACAACAAGAGCAAGAACCGCTACATCAACATCCTGGCCTGTATGAGTCACAGCATTAGAAACATTAGTTTTTATATGTTAAATGAAGCACCCATATTTTGATGATAAACTCATTTTCTTCCAGATGATCACAGTCGAGTGAAGCTCTCCAACGGTCTGGACGAAGAAGGCTGCAGAGACTACATCAATGCTAACTTTGTTGATGTTAGTATTTAAGCTCACACACGCCTCAGAAACAGATATATTTAGCTGTTTGCGAGGTACAGAGGGAAATCAGGTCCAATTTAGACTATCATGACTTTTTTGCAATATTATGTATAGAACATATATATAGAATTTAATGCCATTGTACTGAGTACTTCATACTTATTATACTCAGAAATCTTAAATAATTAATGAAAATATTATCCAAACTGTGAACCAGAGAGATTCAAGCTGTATTTCTGTTTTGGAGTTTGCATTCACACTTCCCACAGTTTCCTGGCGGTTCAATTCAATTCAATACAATTTTTTCTTGTATAGCCCTAAATCACAACAGAGGACAGTGATAAAAAACCACAAAGAGCCTTTGGTCCATGAGGGTGCGATGACCAATGTCCATAAATGTTGTTAAATGTTGAGTTGAGTGTCCTGGATCATCGCGACTGTTCTTTCAGCGGCTCCATTTAAACTGTAACCTTTTGTGTTGTTAGGGGTACGAAAGGAGCAGAGCTTACATTGCTGCTCAGGGCCCTCTCAGAGCGAGTCGAGAAGATTTCTGGAGAATGATCTGGCAACAAAATATCGGAGTCATAATAATGATCACTAACCTCAAAGAGAAAGGAAGGGTGAGAATGTTCTTTACATTATAGTTTTCTAAAGCATAACGTTTGTTTTTATGGATCCTGTAAGGGACCGATGGTGCAGCAGGAAACACACAAACTGTTTAATTAATAAGGCTTTTTAATTAGCCAAAAAATGACCCAAACAATACAAATAAATGAGGCCAAAATCAAATGTACAACTGAACATGACAAACACTGACCTAACACAAGACACACCAGGGGAACATTTAAGCTGGATGATCAGACCAACTATTAACTAAAGGGGGTAAATAAGACTACACAAAACAGATACATTTACTTAACTAGTTAAGGACAAAGTTAATACTAATAATATTATATGACTAATAATAATAATAATAATAAACTAATATATGCTTATACTTAATATAGAATATAAACTCAAATGAATCTCCCCAAACATCCCCTCTTCTGGACCTGCCATGGTTCAGGCCATAGGGTGGAGCCTGGAGGTAACACCCTCAGCTGGAGTGGGTGGAGTCAGCTCACAGGAGTGTGAGCTCCAATTGTGAGGGAGGAGTCAGCCCTCACAGATCCCATTAGCTGAAAGCATTACAATTTACTGGGTTCATTTATTTTAAAAAGTACATACAGTGATTCACACGATTTATGGTAAATTATTTGTTTAATACTTTTTTTTATTCTTTCTGCTCCTTTGTGTTCAGTTCTGTATTGACATGTGCACAATTGAAATAAAGAAAGAAATACATTCTCATATTTTAGACCATTCAGAAATTAATCATACGGAGAAACAGCCAAAACACTTCTTCAATTTCCTTATTTGTCCTTGTCCATGTGTTAGCTCCTTTCCATTATATGTGTTTCTCAAACCATGCCACTTTATGCTTTTTAACCAACCGCTTATTTTAGAGCTTTCACATGTATTGAGTTAATGACAGAGCTGTAGACCTGAATGCACAGAAAACATGGCAAATGTAAAGCGAAAGACAAGATTGTGACATACAGTCTTTGTGCATTCAGACCAAATGTGACCAGTACTGGCCTGAGGCCACTGAGGAGGACTATGGGCCATTCCAGGTTTCTCTGAAAAGTACCAAGACTCTCGCCTACTACACTCTGAGGACGCTCTCTGTGAGGGACACTGTAAAGGTAAATGTAGTTGTCAGATAATATGTTAAACGTTTGTTTTATGTTAGAGGCATTTTCCATTTTAATGTCGTCACACTATGTGTTCTCCTTCCACTCAGTCGTGTCAGAGGAAGGAGGAGCACACGGTTCTGCATTATCACTACACTCAGTGGCCGGACATGGGGGTCCCGGAGTACACCCTCCCAGTGCTGTCCTTCATCAGGACCTCCTCACAGTCCCGGACCCAGGACATGGGCCCTGTCCTGGTCCACTGCAGGTGAACCCACATTTAGCACTTATATGGTAACAAATTTACAATTACAAGAGCCCAAAGTGCCGTACACTCCACTATGGATAAAACATATAAAAGCATAATATTGCAGAAAAACCTAAAAATACATTTATGCATAAAAAAACATAGATTTACATGAGTCTTCCTCAATTGGAGTGAGTGAGTTAACCGGTTTTTACTAGTGTTTTATTGCATCTAAATATGGATGTCTTGCCAGAGTGCTCCCTCCATGGATCTATAATAATATCTGGATAGGGTAAAACTAGCTTTTAGCTGTCAACGGGCACAGGGGGCGCCCGCGGTACTGCAGACAAACTTCATGTGGGCTATTACAGTCTGGTAATTACAGGGATGGGAGAACTCTGGAAACATATCTTATCTTATCTAGAAAAAGCACTAGATGAAACTGGTGCATGGTTGTTATTATTATTATTATTATTATCAGTGCTGGAGTGGGCAGAACTGGGACCTACATCGTGATCGACAGTATGCTGCAGCAGATCCAGGACCAGGCCTCCGTCAATGTCTTGGGCTTCCTCAAACATGTGCGGACCCAGAGGAACTTCCTGGTCCAGACTGAGGTGTGGACTGCATGGCTGTTTTGTAAAGTTCTTTGAGTGGCCTCGTGTATGAACTGTGCCATGAGTCTTATAGTCCATGAACACTCACATCGTCTGGTCATTGTGCTGTAGGAGCAGTACGTTTTCATCCATGACGCTCTGGTGGAGGCCATTTTGAGCCGGGAGACGTCCGTGAGCTCTGACCTCCTGCACAGTTACGTATCAGAGCTGCTGACCCCGGGGCTATCCGGCCGCACACGCATGGACAAACAGCTGAAGGTAAAACACCTGGCTGTGAATGTCTCTGTGTTAGTTCCAAAAAAAACTATTTAAATAAGCTCCTTTTATCTGATAACATTGATTTAGTTAATTGGTCTCAATTAAAAGCTCAACTCAAAGCCTGGGTGCCAGTTTCAGTTTATTACAATACAAAATAAAAGCAAGTAACATTCATTCATAAATAGTGACATTGCATATTTGTAAATGAGTAACGCTTGATCGCAACGTTTAGCCTATATATGGGGCCCAAGACATTACACAGCACTAAAATATCAAACCATTCACTAGAATTCCAATTTCCTATAAACTAACCCTAAACCTAACCAACTAATCTACCTATACATAAAAAATGCCTATATAATACTTTTATTAGATTGAATACATCAAATGCATTAGCACGCATTTAGCTACAGTGCATATTTCTAAAGATGTATTCAGACATCAGCTAGGATTGGTATAATTCCAGGAGTATGATTTTTAGTTTATTTTATTTATTTATTATATGCCATTTTCCAGCTCATTCCAGACTCGTGGGTCTTTACCTAGTTCCTGGCTCTAAAACATTTTTATCACTCGGCTTTGAAGGCATGTATCTTTTGGCCTCTGTCTCATCTTAAGATAATCGTTTTCAGACAGAAAAGAGAAAAAGAGAAGGCCACTCTCACTCAGCCAATCAGCTGTCACCCCAAAAAGTCAAATAGTGATTATTGTTCAAAAGTTCAATTATTTATCAAATTCCACTGTTTAAAATGTGAAACGCGCATGTGATATAGACTTACAAAGTTACATACACCGTGCAGATAGATTTATTTTATTTGCCATTTGCAATAAAACCACATTGGAATACAAAAGTCCATAGTGTGTTTGTTGTCAATTTAAAACTATGATTAGGATTATGGTTGGAGCTGGTGCCCTGTGTACTGGGTGGCCTCTCTGGCCACCCCCCCGACCCAGAAATGGATTAAGGGGAAGAAAATGGATGGATGGATGGATGGATTAGGATTATGTCTTTTTTACAAGCTGTGAACCAATTATCAACATTGAAACAAATAAAGGCTTGATATATCTCACTTTGAGGAGAGGAGTAAATGGACTTTTGAACAATAATCCTTTTGTTTTATAAATAAGCGAAATGTGGGTTTGTGTTACAGCTCATCAGTCAACGCCAGGCCAAACATGCGGACTACAGCACAGCTTTGAAAGAAGGAAACGCAGAGAGGAACAGGGCCAAAGCGCTCATGCCCGGTGAGTCCCAGTGCAACCACCTTGATCGCGGTGAATGGGCTGTTAGCTATCAACATGCAGATTTGTTGTACTGGTTTTTGGTACATCTCTATATGAATACTGGAACTATTTTGCATGAAACTAGAACAACACAATGTTCAATATCGGATGAATGGAATAACTCTAAACTAATGACTCTTTTGTTGAGTGCACTGTTGTTAGGCATAATAAAATGTGCCATACAATAATTCTTCGTCTTCATCTTATTTGAAATTTGGATGTAACACTCTCACAAGTTAGAGTTACCATTACCCATTGAAAAATAATCTTCAAATTCCCTCGGGTGGGCTTGAAGAAGTGTGTGTGGACAGGGAAGTCTGAGTGTCTCTGCTTAGACTGCTGTCCCCGTAACCCGGCAACAGATAAAGCAGAAGAAAATGGATCTATATATGCAACCTATTGTAACTAATGTAACTCTTTTATGTTATATTATTATGTATTTAAAACAGTTTTGAGAGCGAGGGACTACTTCAATTGATTTCATAATTTTCATTTCTTGTGGTTTGGAATTTAGGTACCCCAGCTTTAATTATACAATGCTTGTTTTTGTTTTATATTTCAGTGGAAAGATCCCGAGTTTGTCTCACAGCCTCGGAGACAAACTCGACAGGCTACATCAATGCTTCTTACGTCATGGTAATGTCTTTTTTTTGTATCTTTTGTCCTAATAACAGTTTTTTTACATGATTATAACTGTATTATTATGAAACCAGGGCCATCATCACTGCAGAGAGTTCATCGTGAGTCAAACTCCTCTCAGCTCCACGGTGGAAGATTTCTGGAGGATGATTTTAGAGAACAACATTCACACTGTGGTCTCCCTTACTGAGCCCCACTCACAAGTAAGATCAAGGACAACTTAACCAGCTTTATAATCACGTCCCAATTAATTCATAATGTTGGAGATGATCGGGGAAATAGACACTGCATTTTCCTAAATCTTTTTCTGAATACTATAGTTTCATTACAATTTATGATTGTAATGCTTTTTAACTTCCTTTTTAATTCAACGGGACATTGAGGACCTTTACCCACTCAAAATACAGAAGACCTTATTTTGAATTACTATGGCCATCCCATGGACAGACATACAAATATTTCAAAAACCTCCCTTAGAGTAGCAACATGTAATATTTGCATGTCAAGTCATCATTAAATGGCCCCAATATTTCTAAAGGCGTTATTAAATCATGCTCTTTTCGAATACATCTTTAACTGATAACAGTAGTTCAGCCGAGATATTTGATTATCAAAATTAGTTTTACGACCCGTAAAAGTTGTTATTCAAATCAAATCAAATCAAATCAAATCAAATGTTATTTATAAAGCGCTTTTCATACAAAAGATGCAACACAAAGTGCTTTACAGTTTGGTTAAAAACAATCCCGCCGACCCATGTCCCCTCCCCCCGACCACCCAACAGACCCATCCCAAACCACAGACAAACACACACACGCTCCCATGCACACTCTCTGACACACACACACACACACAAGTAAAACAGTAAAACAATGAGAGACTTGGCAGGGTTCGGATGCAACCAGCTGAAAAAGCGTCAACCAAGGAGCCGTCTGCACCAGGAGCAGAGAGCCGCCTGTAGCCACAGGGGACGACACAGGATCTAGAGGAGACATGAAACCGAGGCCCCAGGCCCCCACCAGGTCCAAGAGTCCGACCCCCACAGCCATGCCGACCATTGTTTTGATTACGATGTCCTACCCTCTGCCGTTTCACCAGTCAGAAAGTCCGAGTTCCGGGTTGCCAGAACCCCCCGCGGCTAGCTAATCTCAGTGGTAAAATAACATGTGGCCGCAGAACTAAAAAATAATAATAATAATAATGCATGGGTTTTATATAGCGCTTTTTTATACACTCAAAGACGCTTTACATGTCATTATTCTTTCACTCCATACAAGGTGATGAACTACTGCGGTAGCCACAGCTGCCCTGGGGCACACTGACAGAAGCGAGGCAACCAGTATGTGCCATCTGCCCCTCCGACCACCACCAACCATTCACACACACACCAGACTCATTCTAGGCAATGGGGGTAAAGTGTCTTGCCTAAGAACACAACAGCAGTTTGGCACTTGTCTGGCATCAGGTGTTCCCAGAGGTTAAGTGTCTTGGCAAGGACACAACGACAGCAGGAGTCGATGGTGAAAGTCGGGCTCGAACCCACGACCCTCTGGCTCAAAGGCCAATGCTCTACCAACTGAGCGACTGTCGCCCAAAATAGGTCTTGTTCTGATTCTCAAATCATTAATGACAAAACAAAGACTAAAACGAGGATTTATATTGGAAGGCCTTTGAAAAATTGAGATAATTGAAGGCGGATAAAAACTTTTCGTGTGACGCAAAACTTGCTGCATTGAGTGCGTTCTTTATTGACAGTTGAAGTGCCTGCCTGGAATCTCAATTTGTTGCAATGGTGGTCTAATGGTTGAGTCACAGCACTTTTACCTTAGCATCCCGGGATCAATTCCGGACAAGGTGTGTTTTGGATTAAACTATATTATATTCTATGGCAGATAGTTCAAAAACGGTAAAAGGTAAAAACAAGTCGTTATTTGCAGATTATAGCTTAATTGTAATAAGAATCATTTGAGACCACATGTACCCCAATTAAAATAAATTATAATTTTAGTCTCTTATCTCCCTTCAAATAAAATTGAAGGGTGATATCCTCTGAAGGACACTATGTTGCAACATCCATTCTTCCCACTCCTATTGTGGACATCAATTGCTTATTTATTTTGCATAATCAATGTATAATTACATTGCTTTTATTTGTTTTTTTCTTATCTCAAATGTCCAAATAAAAAAAATAAAAAAACATTCATTCAACATTAGCATGCCTCATGGCAATGTGAATGGAGACAGACAAACAACTGATAAATTATTCCCTGTGTTTGCTGCTGGATTTGGTGTGTATCTGGCAACCTGAGTCAGGGAGAGTGGGAGAGGACTACAAAATATTGACGGAGAGTGTAGTACCATTTTTGGCCAGATTTGTACATACTGCTCCTTTAACTCCAGTTTCTGTGTGGTCTGGTGTATGAACTAAATGGGTGTGGAGAGGGAGAAAAGCCGCATAAAGAGAATGTTTATAAAGAAAGAAATAGTCACTTTTAACCTTAAATCTCTTGTGTTTCCAGCATGAAGGGGACGCTGTGGTGTACTGCCCAAGTAGAAACCAGCCAATCAGCTTCAAGGATTTCACAGTGTCCTTTTCATCAGAGGAACACGTCTGCTTGTCTGGCAGCGACAAGCTCTTAGTACAAGACTTTAAACTACATTGTCTACAGGTAAAGCATTGTAAAAGTGTGTCTTGTGCTCTCGCAGATCAATCTTGAGAGTATTTTTCAACATTTTTAGAGTAATTATGAGCTGGAGGTGCGGCAGTACTGCACGTCCTGTTGGCCCAACCCCGACAGTCCCATCAGGAACAGCTTTGACTTAATAAACCTGGTCACAGAACACAACGGCCCGACAGAGGGACCAACACTCGTGCATGACCGGTGAGTGTATTCAAACAATATCATCTTGGGTCCATGCTTTTATTTTTCTTCTACTGTTGTATGAGAAAGCGGATCCATATACTTGACTTTTTGATGATTTTAAATGTGCATTTGTTAACTCTGACTAAGTTTGAAAAAAAAAATCGATGATCAGTTTGTTTTCAAAATTAATTGAGGTAGGTTTATCCATGCTTTGTTCTTGTTTTTTCCAGAATGGGCGGCCCGGTGTCCGGCCTGTTCTGTGCTCTCACCACGCTGTACAGTGAGCTACAGGAAGAGGGCGCTGTGGACGTGTATCTCGTGGCTCGGATGACCAACCTCATGAGGCCAGGAGTCTTCAACGATATGGTCAGTATTCTAGTGTGCAATAGTTCAATACATGAAGTGTGCAAATGAGTAATTTTTGTAGTTGTGCATTTGGAAACAAGGGAACCACATACAAAAAAATATGTATAAGAAAAATATAGTCCATTTTATATTAACAGCAGTAGGGTTAAATACAATCCTCCAGTTTGCAGGCTCTCCCCGATCATCTTCCCTTGTGCGTTTCTACTTTGGACGAATTTCTCAAATTATATATTCATAATTAATAAATATGTGTTTTTATGGATGAATCTGTTTCTGCTACTGGACGTGTTAATTTATCCTAAAGGAATCAATAACGTATCTATGTATCTATCCATCCATCAACTACAAAGTTTGCACTGCCCATAAGATACCTTTATTGCACACAAGATACCATCTATCCTTTCATTGTTTTGCATATTTGCACATTTTCTGTTTTTTTCACACCCTGAGTGATCTTATTGAAGCCAAATTTACCATGACAATTTCTCCATTGTGAGATCAATAAAGTAACTTATCTGCTTTTCAAACAAGACATCTTGACCACCCATGGACTTGGACCACCATATATTTTGAATTTGACCCATATAATTTCCATAAGTTAAGGATAAACCTGAGTTTCCCTTCACTACTCCCGATTCCGGCATGTTCATAGTATTTATTTTGGCGCCATCTACTGTTTAGGTCTGTGTCTGTGCATTTCACATCAAGAAAAGGGGAAATCACCATTACCCTTTAATAGTTTCCTCAACCATTTGGTGGATCATGTTTTGAATACATCTACTTGAGGCTTGGAACTGAAATCTACCTGATTGGAGCATCTCTGTCACTTGTTTTTTTTTTTCACTTTTACCATCAAGCTGCATCACATTTGGTAGAGGCATATAATAATAATTTTCAAAAACCTATAGGAGTTGAAAAAAAGGTTTCTACTGGTGCTCCTACATCTTAGAAAATCACAAAATACATTACAGGCATAATAGGTATAAACATTAGAGGGATAAACCTTTTTCGCTCAGAGAACAGATATTGCCGCTCTCCAGATGTCATTGCCTCCTCAGTACAATAGTATCCGAGTATCCTTTATTTGTATTTAATTCAAATAAGTACAGACTATGAACTAACTTACAATATTTACATTTCATAATTTACATATGTACATCTTGACTTCTGTGCTTACAGTATGTACTTACACGTGCAAATACATAACATAAATATACAATATTTGCCATCGTTTTACCATGCGTTGTATAGTTATTGTATAATTTCTATACGTATGTACGAATAAATTTCTATTTACATTTTTTACAAATGCATTTCTATCTCTATAGTAACCACATTCTATCTAGATCAAAAACAAATTCTACAAATTCTTACAGTGTTACTAGGCTACCATAGTTGCCATGGAAATGGAATTATATATACATCATCTTAGAATACCTCCATTTTACATGTGGCAGGGTTTGCCCCAAGTCCAATAACAGATAACGAAGACATTTTTGCAAAAGCATTATTGCAGAGATCAACTCAGCGACTTACTGATCCAAGTAACATGGAAAAGCCTATTGAAGGCCACAAGACTGACCTGGAGATTCTGCATGAACTGGCAGAACTCCATGGGAAACTTGTACTTTTTAATGAAATGGGAGAGGAGGGTCCAGCACATAAACCCACTTTCCACATCGAAGTGCAAGTGGGAGACTTGGTCGGCTACGGCTCCGGCCCCACCAAGAAAAAGGCTCGATTACACGCAGCTAAAGACGTTGTGAAAGCGTTGTCCAAGCTCCCTCCGCCTCAGGGAAAAACCCCATTCTGGTGCAAACCCCACGCAGACCTTATGGACCCTGAGGTGCGCAAGTACTTCTTCCACAACAAAAACCCAATCACCGCGCTCACAGAAGTTCTCATGATCAGGAAACAACCTGCGGCAACTTTTGAGATTGTCAACCTTGAACATACCCACGACAGGGATTATACAGTTGTGTATTGTATGGAGGTGAGAGCTGGGGACTTGTCTTGTCAAGCTTTCGCCCCCAACAAGAAAGAAGCCAAGGTCATGGCGGCAGAGAGAATGTTGGAGATTATGGGATTTAAAGAGCAGCTCCAGATGCAGAACCCACCGATGCAGCCGTTTGAGAGCCAGATTTTCCAACAGAAAGTCTACAAAGAGCAAGCAGTACAGCAGCGGCAGCACCAAGAAGCGGTAAAGGCTCTACGTCGTCTCACAGCTACAGAAGAGACAGCAGAGGAACTCAGACCAGAAGAGACGGTAGAGGAACTACTCATACCACAAGAGAAGTCAGAGGAACTCATACCAGAAGAGAAGTCAGAGGAACTCATACCAGAAGAGACGTCAGAGGAACTCATACCAGAAGAGACAATAGTGGGACTCATACCAGAAGAGACGGTAGAGGAACAACTCATTCCACAAGAGAAGTCAGAGGAACTGATACCAGAAGAGAAGTCAGAGGAACTGATACCAGAAGAGACGTCAGAGGAACTCATACCAGAAGAGACGTCAGAGGAATTCGTACCAGAAGAGACGGTAGAGGAACTCAGACCAGAAGAGAAGTCAGAGGAACTCACACCAGAAGAGACAATAGTGGGACTCATACCAGAAGAGACGGTAGAGGAACTACTCATACCAGAAGAGACGGTAGAGGAACTACTCATACCAGAAGAGACGGTTGAGGCACTCACACCAGAAGACAGCCAACTGGAAGACTTACCGTCAGAGATCCAGGAGGCAGCCATAACAAAGCAGGCCTCAGCTGAAGAGACTGTGGATATTTCTCCGGAGGAAACTAATGAAACACAGTCCATCGGAAAAGGTACCAGATCTGCTCACCTCATGGCTGCAGCGATGATAAAAAAGTTAATTCAAAAAGCCCACATGGTCCCTGACACTGAGCAGCAGATCCGTCTTGTCCAAATGCTCAGCAAAGTGGAGACCGGGGTTAGGATCCCAGAGGACAGTCAGCTCACAGACAAAGACCTCAAAGCCATCGGGAAAGCGGCTGCCAAAAGCTTACTGCAGGAGTGTGGCTCGGTCTCTGTTCTAAGCGATAACAGTTTCACTGAGGAAACAATGAAACTGAACCTGAACCTCCAACTCATGTATCATTTGGCCCATCGTCCTCAGACTAAGCCAACATGCTTCTTTGCAAGGGTTTGGAAGGTCTTCAGAAGAAACAGGATCAGCTCAGGACCTCTGAGAACCTATTTGTCATCTCCCAACTACTAATCAAAACCAGTAGAGCTTAGATATGACATAATCTAAGACTGGGGGGTCGAGGTGTTTTCTGTTTGCTTTTTATGTCAAATGTAGTTGACATAACGGGAAAATATCAATAAGTGATGTATTTGAAGGCTGATAGTTAAGATAATAATAATAATAATAATATTTAAGCAACAATAACTTCTAAAAACCTTTTAGTTAAAATGTCAGATCCAAAACAATAATATGGTTGTTTTCCAGAGACAGTAGGCTTTAAAATTAAGTACAACATGCCATAGTAGCCCCTTCCCGTCAATACAGAAAATGACTGTGATAATTGAAAATCATTTCAGGGGTTAATATTGTCTCGTAGCTCGCGGCCCATGGACCTGAGTTTGACTTGCCTAATCTAAGTCTCTGAACTGCATTAAAAAATAAGGTTTTCACTAGGACGAGATATGCGGTGCAGTGGTCTTATACTGAACTGAATATTTGTCCATCCACAATGTTTGAGTTTGGCTTATTTTCCTTCACCGCAAATAATAGATCAGATTTTTTGATGTGAAGAAAATAATGAAATAAATACCACTCATACTAGCAGAAACCGTAGAGCAGAGAGCCAAGACGCAGCCATAACGAAGCAGGCCTCAGCTGAAGAGACTGTGGATATTTCTCCGGAGGAAACTGAAGAAATACAGTCCATTGGAAAAGGCACCAGATCTGCTCACCTCATGGCTGCAGCGATGATAAAGAAGTTAATTCAAAAAGCCCACATGGTCCCTGACACTGAGCAAACTCTCCCTAAATGCATGGAGTTTATTTTATGGGCGTTACATAAACACAACCTTTTGTTTTAAACAGGAGAAGAATCAGTCAACTGAATATTTGTACATCTACAATGTTTGAAATTGAAGAAAAAAATAATAAAAATAATAAAATCAAAACCTTCTAAATGCTTTGAGTTTATGGGCATCACATGAACACAACTTTTTGTTAAAAAACAGGAGTGTTCAAACTTTATTAAACCAAGATCTACAACAACCATCTTTGGTCGCTTTCCCTTTCTCCTCTTCTCTAAACACTAGGATGCACAGGGTCTTTGCTTCGCAGCCACTGGCAGTCTAGTTAGAGGAGAGACCCGGCTGGGGCCCTGTCATGAAGCCACCTGTGCCATTCCCTTAGTGATAACACAAAGAATACATTACAGAAAGACATCTGGAGTTAATCAGTCTAATCTGGAAAATCTAATTCTTGTTCCGTGTAAGAATCAGCCGACCACAACCGCTGATACTGAAACTTTGAAACTTGCTATGCTTAATGTCAGATCTCTTTGTAACAAGTCTTTTTTAAGCAATCATTTTTTTATTTGTTCTTATAATCTTGATCTTATGTTCATGGCTGAAACATGGCTTGACCAAAATACAGGAAATGCAGTTTTAATAGAAGCATCACCACCGAACTTCAAATTTGAATCTGAAATATGGGAAAACAAAAAGGGAGGAGGCTTAGCTGCCATTTTTAGAGACCACTTTGTCTCCCATAGAATGTCTCTTGGGAAGTTTTCGTCATTTGAATATGTGTCTTTTAAAATACAACAAAAACAATCTCCTCCAATACTCTTCATTGTCCTATACAAGCCACCGCAGTCATGTCACAATTTTATTGATAATTTTACCGAGCTGCTTTCAGTTGTATGCACAGACTTTGATAGTTTAGTTATTACAGGGGATTTTAATATTCATGTGGATAATGTTAATGACAGAAATGCAAAAGAGCTGAGTTCTGTACTTGAATCCTTTGATCTCACTCAGCACGTAAGTGGCCCCACCCACAGCAGAGGGCACACTCTAGACCTGTTAGTTACTAAGGGGGTGAATATTTCTAATGTAAACGTGGTCGATGTTGCTCTTTCGGATCATTTCTGTGTATTTTTTGACATGTGTTTCACTAACAAACCACCAGTGGACTCTGCAACTGTTCGAAGAAGACACATAAATGAAAATACAAGTGAACTTTTTATGGGAATGATAAACTTTGAAAATGCATCGTATTCTACTGTAGATGAACTGTTTAACTCTGTCACCTCTAGTGTTTTGAATGTTCTGGATACCGTTGCCCCTGTGAAGGTTAAAATAGTGAAAAATAAGAAGAAGGCAACGTGGCCTAAAGCAGACTCGGTCAGGGCACTGAAGAGAAAGTGCCGGAGGGCCGAGCGGAAGTGGCGCAAGTCCAACCTCCAGGTTGATTACAAGATATTCAAGGATAAGTTGTGCGAGTTTAACCGGATGATAAACTGGACTCAGACTTAAATTTTAATAGCCACATCAAATCAGTAACATCAGCAGCTTTTTACCACCTAAAAAACATTGCCAGGATCAAAAACATAGTGCCTGAAGCAGACTTGGAGATTCTTATCCATGCATTTGTCTCCAGTAGGTTAGACTACTGTAATGGCCTGCTCACAGGTCTGTCCAAACAGGCTGTAAAACAGCTGCAGTACATTCAAAATGCAGCAGCTCGAGTCCTGACAAGAACCAGGAAGTACGACCACATTAGTCCAGTTCTCAGGTCTCTGCACTGGCTTCCTGTGGCTTAGAGAATAGACTTTAAAACAGCTCTGCTTGTGTACAAGTCTCTCCATGGCACCAAAATATATTAGTGACATGTTAGTCCCATATGAACCAGCCCGGACTCTGAGGAGCACAGGGACTGGACTCCTGTTAGTGCCCAGAGTCAGAACTAAACATGGGGAGGCTGCTTTTCAGATTCATGCTGCTAAAATCTGGAACAATCTTCCTGAAGATGTGAGACAGGCCTCCTCTCTGACAGAATACAATACTATCTTGATTGAAAGTACAATATAAGGTTTGGAGTATTCTGATACAATATAAGACATGAACAAATGCAGGGTTATATTCAGATTCAGTCAATGTTAGATATAAATTACAAAAGGTAAGCAAAACGTATCCAATTGAAACAAGTAGAATTACCTTGTCATTACCACAGAAGGCAAGCAATGCACTGTATGCACTGTGGTACGCAGAATATGTGATTCTGAATGAACATATGATCTCTGTTCAGTATGTTAGTTTTATTTACATTCATTACTTACACACATGCAAGAAACTCTAAAAACAATCCAAGATGTGTACACTTTTTTGTTCACTAATATTCATGTCTGATACAATTTCCTATAGATTAGACTGATTATAGATTCCACAAACCACACATTAAATCTATGATCTCTCTCTCTCTCTCGCTCTTTCTTTCTTGACACTTTTACACAGAAACAAGGAACATCCATCCATCCATCCATCCATTTTCTTCCCTTTAATCCATTTCTGGGTCAGGGGGGTGGCAGTCAGAGATGCCACCCAAGTCTCATAGCACCAGCCCCTCACTGACCCTCTGCAGGTGGTGAGTCCACAGGAGGACGGCTGCTCTCTGAGTGTGAGCATAGCCTTGATCTTTCAGTGGGGGCTTTGGGCAAAGTGGGGTTAAGTGTCTTGCCCAAGGACACAACGACAGCAGTCATCAGTGGGAGTCGGTGGAGAAGGTGCAGAGGTGGGAATTGAACCCACGACCTTCTGGGCTTAAGGCCAATGCTCTACCAACTGAGCTACTGTCGAAACAAGGAACAGAGAATGAATATTATATCTGTGTTCTAAAAAAACCAATTGGATTTAGGGTTTGGGTTTGCGCATCAAAATAATAGTTAGTTACGGCACTAAGAATGTTTCCCAGTATGTAAGGCTTTAACTTTATATTTCCACCTTCAGGAGGTTAACAGTGAGCAACTGCATTTAGTTTTTTATAGTTCTTTATTAGAGGCCATTGTTTTTAATATGTTCTACTATTTTTTTTCCTACCAAAGAAGTCCCCATGTAACAATCAGCAGGTGGGATGTGTTCAGGAGGAAGCGTCCGGGGAGAGGCATATGTCCCGTTACAGGCTCAGAGTGTAAGCATGGCCACACTCCACTGGCCGCACTGTCTGTCCTCCACTGAGGCCCGGCTGTAGTGAAAGTGTGGTGTTAGTTTGAGAACGAGAGGAGCAACACGCAGCTAGAACATATTGTGGCACAGATGGCTTTGGGATGTTCCTCCGAAATGAGCAACAGGAAAATGTTGCGGATCAACAATGTATGCAGCAATAGACTAGAATGAATTAATTTTATTTGGACCAAAATTAATGGAATGGAAAACTATCTGAACTATTGTAAAGCGCTTTGGGTGACCTTGGTCTGTATATTGCGCTATATACATGAACATTAATTACTTACTTATGTCATTAATGAGCCATATATGCAATAGCCTATAGTGTTATTAAAGTTGGGGTACTGGGCTCGTAGAGGAAGAGGATGTTTGTCACATAGTCACTTGCAGAGGTATTCTAGCCCTGCATTTGAACATCTTTTCCAGTGAAGCAGATAGACGGATAACACAGATTTCACTTTCACGAGATCAAAACTTGAACCAAAAATGAAACCAAATCAAACTTTAATATTACAATGTTCACAATCTGGACTCTCTGAGCACTTTCACAGCGTGTGGACAAATGCAACAGGTCTGAACCGACACCAATCAGGGTGAACTTTTTTTGTAAGGAGAAACTTAGCAAAGAACTGAGGTGAGAAATGAAACACATTTCTCACCTCATTGGGATAATTCAATTCAGAAAGACGCAACAAAGCAAGAATTAAGGACCTTTTCATTGAACAAATCCATAGAGCAATATGAGCTGATGACAAACAGAACAGGGGAACCGATTATCCACAAACTGTACAATTCCTCATGGGTCCACTCACTACAGAAGGAGATTACTTTAATAACTAAAGAAAGGAGTCAGATCAGATTAGCCAGGCGCACCCCTGCGTGGATCCAACGCAAGACTCTAAAGTCAACTCATAAAACAGTCTAGACCAGGGACCACCATTTTCACCATTTTACTACATACCCACTTATGCATGCTTATATGTCAATTATGCAAAGAACAGCGTGACACAGATTGGCCAATAAGTGAAGCCAATGCATTGGAGAGTATACAGAGATAGGCTACTATTCAGGACAACTAAATTGCTTTTAAAAAATACTAAAAGAATAACGCTGGATGCGAGGAAAAATGTGCTTATCCACCCCAACACGTGTGAAAAAGGGGGAAGATTTAGATAATTCAGCGACAATTTCCCAAAGACCCATCACCGGTATTAATCTTTCCGAGCAGATGTCACTCACTAAGCATTACATTACGCATTTCCAAAGGGTCATTTTAAGAATTAGATGAGAGACAGTCCACCAGAAGACGTGTCATCGCCAAAAAAAGATAAAAAAAATACAAAAAAGACCGCTCAATCCAACGGCGCGCTATCCTTACCTATGTGACAGAGCAGGAGCAGCCGGGAGACCAGCATCCTCACCCGGAGCGCAGTCGTAGCCATGGCTTTGACGGCAAAACTGAGCGTCAGAAGCCGCTCTGGTGACAGAAAAGGGGCGCGATTGGTGTGCGTAAAAAAAGAAAAAGAAAGAAAAGATGCCCCCCTACTCGCGGCGCATCGTTCCTCGGCTTGTGTGTGGATCCAGCAGAAGGAGGAGGAGTAGGGGGGAGGCAGGGGGAGGCAGGGGGAGAGCACTCGGGATTGAACTGTGTGTGTATAGGCTGAGATTTTGGACGCAGATTGGCGCGGAGTGTGGTGTAGTGTGGTCTTTACGCGCACCGCCCACTACTCATGGAAGACGCTGCTTTATGTTCCTCAGACTGGGTTCACGGGGGCAAAGGGATGTGAGCCTAGAGGAGAAGTATAGTGTTGCAACTTTCTTTTACTACATGGGTTATGACCACCACTGTTGCTCATGACAGGACATGACAGTAATACATTTGTGTTTATAAAGTGTTCATGTCATTGTATCTGTCTATATATTTAAAGTGGTGAAGTGTCTGTTCCCAATAATGCAACTACAGTATCATCCTACACTGCAAAAAGGATGAAGAATAAGTCAAAAAAAAAAAAGCTCAAGTAAGTAATGTTTATCTATGTAGCGCCTTTCACAGACCAGAGTCACAAAGCGCTTCACAATTGTTGTGGGCATTTGTCTTTCACTCCTCACAGAGAAGGGAGTGAGGTCGCCAGTACAGGAGGCGCATGCCAGACCAATTATATATGTTTTTTGTGGTAGGGGAAACCGGAGCACCCGGAGGAAACCTATGCAGGCACGTGGAGAACATACAAACTTCACTCAGAGTTTATGTGTTCAAACTTTGTATGTTCCACTCAAATTTGGCAAAGTGTGTGGTTATTTTGAGCACGTTTCGAGATTATCCAATGGGACTAGAACAATTATCTTGTTTTAAAAAGATACAAGAAATGTCTCCCTTGGAATGAGAAAAAGAAGCAACAGTTCTTGAAATAATTAAATGTCACACATTGGAAAAACTTGTTATAAGACAGTACGATTGTACTCAAATTAAGATAAAGCAACCCGATTCAAGCAATTGTTACCTCAAATTATATCATATTTTGTAGTGACCTAAGTATTTTGTGTGTATTTACATAGTAGAATTATCATTACAATTTTCATCTGTTTTTGCCCCACAGTCACAGGCACATTCTTAGTTTGTGACTTACTGTTACAATGGCAACAAAAAATAAATCTGATTCTGATTAAGTAAGTAAGTAATCTTTAATTATATAGCGCTTTTCACAGACCAGAGTCAAAAAGCGGTTCACAATTGTTATTTTTGGGCATTTGTCTCTCACTCCGCACAGAGACGGAGTGAGGTTAAAGCCGGGGTACCTAACTTTCAAACTCCACACAATGTAAGGCAATCCTGTTGCATCGATCCTCATGTCTCTGTCCCAACTTTAGATATGTTTTTTCCAGTGAAACCAGAAAGGACTATACCCACTTAATGGCCAATAGTGTGGGGGTGGTCCTCTCTGAGTCAAATAGTGACTCACAGGGCAGTATAGGCAAAGATATATTGACTATATGTTGGGAAAAACAAAATAATATTCATGTTAAATTATAGTTATGTACCTAAGCTTGAGTTGTGATTCTGACAACAAATATAATGATGCACCAAACTGTGTAAATTATGAGTTTGCATGTTCTCCTCGTGGCTTGGTCAGTGTTGTGCGTCTCGCTTCTGTCATCACCGTGAGTGAAGTGAATGGGAAAGGATCCGTACTTCAGTATCAATTGCTTTGTATGAACTTGTCCGTGAAAAGCACTGCATAGATAAAGATTACTTACTTACTTACAAGAAAAATATGCATCTTGAAATAATAATCAATGTCTCTAGGAAGAGTTTTACAACATGAAAGCAGCACGATTCCCATGGCTCTCACGAGGATGGGTGCTGTGCCGAGTGAATTGGAGTGGAGTTAGATTGTGAGACAGTCTTCAGTCAAACACACTGCTCTTGTTCCCCCGTGCATTCATTATCATATATTAAAAGAATAATCCTCTTGTGGACCACTGTGTCAATGTTGCACCAGGTTTTTTGATAGAAGCAGGATTTCCGGACAGAAAAGAGAGAAATAAGGAGATTAAGAGGGACTGTTTGCATATATTTTGTATCGTTATAGGCAAATGGGGGATATTATGTAATACAATCTGTGGAGGCTGGTGGTGTAAAGGTCTTTTTGGGTTTTAGTAGTATCAAAGGACCAACAATCATATCTATTAAACCCTTGTCACTGCAGCGTTTGTATCCTGCATTTAACTTCCCAATGAAAAGCAAGGGAAGGTTTCTCACCCATCATCTTTACTTCTTAGCAGGTTTTCCCAACGTTTCGTAATCTAATCCAAAGAATTTTATCAAGGGAATGAAAGCTCAGACCGTGAGTTGGAGAGTTGGTGGGTGGTTTGGGGATAGGTTAGGTGAGAAACCTTCCTTTGCTTTGACTAATCCCTGTACAACTGAGAGCTTACACAAACTAGTCCCAATGAAAAAGTAATCAAAAACTGAGAGCAAGCACTATATTTTTCTTGTAATCAAATATGAAGCTATTTGAGATTAGCCAAAATGGTGTGTGTGTGTGTGTGTGTGTGTGTGTGTGTGTGTGTGTGTGTGTGTGTGTGTGTGTGTGTGTGTGTGTGTGTGTCTCAACCAAAAGACTCTTGTAAAAGCAATATTTTGTGGACAATGCTTTGGGCTGAGAGCGAATTGGCTGAACGAGGGTGGTCCTCTCTTTTCACTTTTCTGTATGTATAAAAAAGTTGATCTGAAGATATGGCAGAAGCTAAAAATACTATATGCATTTGAAAACTGGTGATTTAACCAAACTGTTTTTAAACTGTGAACTATTAAGAGGTTTATAAGAGGTTTGTGAACTAATGGGAAGTTTTGGCGCTATATAAATAAATATTAATTACTGACATACTTATTTATACATGTTTGTTTGTTACTAATGTACTGACAATGAGACAAAAAGCAATGATGCACCTCTTGAACTGAACAACTCTGGTCTCAACAGGTGGTGAACCAATTCAATTTCTAGATAACACTGACATTCTGGGAGATAAAAATAATCATGGATGATGAATCATGGAAAATATATCACGTTTATCTCAATATGTGAAACCTATGCTGACCTTCTGCTGAGACTCCCTTCCATTTGGTTGGATGTATTTGAAACACGCTGCAGCGGATCTATGGATTATGGATTACGTGTTTTCGCTTTGACACTGATTATTTCCAGAGAAAAACGGGTCATCCACAAATCAGGAGATCATTTCGGCCCAAGTCCCTCTTCACAGCTCTGTCTCATCTCTGCCTGTGGGAAAAATGTAGTTCTTCGTTTTTCTCCACCATTGGAAAGGTTAACGGCTCTTTAATCCTAAGCAATTTCCATCTCACACTGAGCAAATTCCAACGGGGATGTATGATGGTCGTTCGATGTATGAGTCAAAATCTATAGCTACTGTCCACGATTTCTCTCTAATAAAATTTCTATACCAGCAACTTCAGTGGTATATTAAATAGAAGGATATCATTTTGGTCTAAATCACACACAAATATGCTTTAGCCAATAACAACACCACTTGCTGGCTAAATGACTATGCCTTACGTAAATCAGATCACTGTATTGACTTCAGTGGAGAGAGCTGGAGGTCAGCGGCTGGTCCAGTCCTGAGCATATTCACAAAGATCAATGTGGACTGAAGCTGAATTCAATGCCTCTGTGCTACCCATGACATCCAACAGTTCTACACAAGGAAACATTAGCCCCATTGAAATTGAGATTCAGCATCTAGTTATTCTTATGAACTTCATATCTGAAGTTGAAGAATAATCTTCCTGGTTAAGGTCAGTTTAGTCTTTTAGTCTTGGTCAAATTCTCATGTTTAGTCATTTTTTTCAAACCTAAGATTACTTCCGGATGTTATCCTCGTTTATGAAACTTCTAAATTTTAGAATGTTTGTGTCAAAACCAAAGCCAACACGTGTTGAACTCAAATCAAGAAAACAGTTCCGAGTATATATTTTGAAAGTCAAACCAGGTCTTTATCTGGGCAACACTACTCGCCTAAAAGACTTGACCACATCCTGCTCAAAATGAATATATAGTATTGGAGGAGACTTCGAAAATGTATTCAGTTATAAAATACTGAATATCTTTAAAAGGTATTTTGCAACATTTCTGCTATTTGGTCCAATTTGAGTACATATTCTGAATACTATAAATGTTTGTGTAAAATAGTAGTGTAATAATGCAGTGATGGATTAAAATGACTTTGCATTGTTTACTTCATGTATCTCTTATTGTTGATTAGAAAATAATTTGTCATCCTCGCACACATCCCTGAATGAGACGTTTTCATTAGTTATCTTGATGAAATTGAATGGTTCAAATATCAGAATGTTTTCCTTAATTTTTCAAAAAGTCTGTAAGTATTCTGTATTGTCATTATATGAATACCATTAACACTGAATATTGTAAAAGAACCAAGAGGAAGAAAGATAGATTGGATTTAATCCAATAAGTGTTTGCTGCGTTGATAGAGTGCGTATGAGTGTATGAGTTCAACTTTTAATAATAATAATAATGCATCGGTTTTATATAGCGCTTTTTTGGACACTCAAAGACGCTTCACATGTGTCATTATTCATTCACTCCATACACGGTGGTGATAAGCTACTACTGTAGCCAAAGCTGCCCTGGGGCACACTGACAGAAGCGAGGCAACCAGTATGTGCCATCGGCCCCTCTGACCACCACCAACCATTCATACACACACCAGACTCATTCTAGGCAATGGGGGTGAAGTGTCTTGCCTAAGGACACAACGGCAGTTTGGCACTTTATAGCCGCAGCCGCCCCACTGTGGCTGGTGTTCCCAGAGGTTAAGTGTCTTGCCAAGGACACAACGACAGTAGTCAGTGGGAGTCGATGGTGAAAGTCTTGAGCGGGGCTTGAACCCACGACCTTCTGGCTCAAAGGCCAATGCTCTACCAACTGAGCTACTGCCGCCTGACTTTTGACCTGGAGTAAGATCCTTCTCCACTAAAGTAACTGTAGTGTAATAATATCAGGTGTCAGTTGCAGAGTGAGGAGCTTCCTATAGTGAGCTGATGTCATGGCTGTCACTCATCAGAGTCATGGGCAGAGGGAACAGGATCCTGCTGCTGACAGCTCTGCTCTGTGGACTCCAATCACATAAATCATGTTTTCCCAAAACGTGGTCATGATATAAATACTGCATATATATATGTGAAAGTGTATCTTGTGAGTAACTGTAGCGGCCTATTGGAGTGAAATGGAAAACAACACAATACAATATTATCATTTGGTCTTTTTCATGAGTTACGATTGGAAAACGATTGCCATTTTCTTTTATCAACCTTTATGGACAACATTATAGACATTGGTTAACCGCTCCTTATGCACTCTATATCTTTTTTATCATTGCATTTATTGTTTGTTTTATTTTCAGATTTTTTCAGATTTTTTTTTATTGTTATAGCCAACTATAGAAACTGTTGTGTTCTTTGTAAAACCTTTTACTCTCTTAATGTATGTATACTTTGATTCAAGACTTCTGTGAAAGGACAGGAAGTTCAAGTAGTTGTTTCTCACATACTTTTATTTGGCTAGAGTAGGTTCTATGCTTTCACGTTTTGTCAGAAAAAAAGCATTTTGACCGATGTTAAGAGGGAGAGCCATGTCTTGGAGACTTTTCTACAAAAACATATTTATGTTTGCGTTCATGTTATTTACCCTAAGCTTGTATAAATGAATGCATGTTTACACTGCACCTCTTGATCCTCATAGTCACCTACATGAGGAATACCCAGGCACTTGTGGCGGGGGAACACAGATTTGAAGTGCTGAGAGTAAAATGGTGCTGAACATAGACAGTGATCAAGGCCTCTGAGAACTCGGAGGAACAAACACTTACTTTACACAACAGGAGAAGTAGGAGGAACCGTAGAGGGCAGTGCTTTTCATTCAGGCACATGGGTGAGAGCAGGATTTCTGCCCAGCTCCATGGAGACCTGCTCAGCTATTCTGATTCACTGCAGAAAAGAGAGAGTTAATCAACAGGATGTATTTTATTCAGAGCCAAAAGGAAAATATAAACCATGACCTAAGTATACGCTTTTTACCAATCTGATACTTGCAGTGGGACAACGTGAAATGGCATTTCATGTAGGGCTGTGAATAAAAATAATTTTGAAAACACATTAGTTGGTATTCTTATTTTGAATCGATTAGTTGTTTAGATCACAAAAGGTCAGTGAATATGGATTTTTAAAATACATTTAACCAAAACAAACCTCAAGCAATGTCCCTGGAGAACCTCTTCATAGTGATGACTTAATAGACATTGTGTTGTTTCAATAAAAATGCGTTGTGAACACATTTTCATTTCATTCTGCATTTATAGAATAGGCTGTGTCATAAAACCTATTTTCAGCATGTTTAAGTCTATGTATCAATTAGTTGCAATCCATCAATATTGTTACAGCCTGTATTCAAGCAAGGCTGAAACACCCGTAACATACAGTATCAGTTCAATTAGTTTTTCTAAAAGACAACATGTTTATTGTAGTTTTGGTTCCAGACCAGATTGTCCTTTAGTGAGTAGAGTGCGCCACCATGTGGTTGAATATAACACACAGGCTTATGCTGTATTGCCTATTTATTGTTTATCTCACACTAACGTTGATCTTACATTTTCGTTTCGAGTTGATTTTAAAATGTTACTCTTTGTTTTTAAAGCCCACAATGGTCTTGCCCCACCAAACTTTTAACTGTGGCAGATCCTTGAGGTCATCAACTCCCCCTGGAAGTACCAAGGACCTGGTCCAAACCCTGGGGTGACCTTTCCTTCTCAGCTGCCCCCTGACATACATGTCCTCACTGATTTTGGCCTTTTAAAACCAAGGCTCAAAGCGTATTTTTATCAAAGACAGGCTTTTTACACTTTTAAAATTCATTAGCGCGGTAGCACTTTTTAAATTGGTTTTTAACTTTTATTTTTTTATTGTATGAATGTTTAACAGATTTTATTGTACAGCACTTTGGTCATCTTGAGTGTTGTAATGGGAAATAAAAATTGGTTGATTGATTGAAATGACAAGAAACCTTTTACTCTTCATGTATACTTATACTGCAGTTATTATATTGAATTTGTTTGATATGTATTTGTATTGTAATCGTCTCTCTAGAGCAAGTTGAATTGTGCAATACAAATAAAACTTTGATTGAGAATGTTGAATAATAGGAGTAGGTTTGTTTTATATTAAGACCTGAGCACTACTATAGATGATAACATGCCACATAAAATCTTAAAAAAGTGAATGATAATATTACTTGGTGGTTGTCTTGTGTTGTTCAAGGTCAAATCTGCAAATCTTGTAGAGTCAAACTTTTATAAAAGCCCCCAAAGGTCAATTTAATTATGCCAGGCTACATAAAGAAAAAAAACACATTCATACTGTAGTTACAATGCTTCTATTCTATCTCCAAAGTATTAGCTACAGAATGCACAGGCCACACAGTGACTGGGTTCACCGACTTCCTACACACTTTTGCACCAACTCTTTCATTATATTTGGATTTAAGTCGCTGAATTGTCCTTTGTGTCAATGTGGATGTAAACAGTGGTAAACTTCTTGCACTTTTTGTCTCCATTTGCAGTGGCCTCTCATTTTCACAGTTGCTAAATGGCGCCAGATCTTCTAATAAGCTGCGCAATTTTCCAGAAGTCTCCTGAAGTTTGTCAAAGTCCTCAATGAAACACAGTTTATCCAGGAGTTCTTTGGTGAGTTTGAAGCACTTATTCCGAAGCCGAGTTTTTCTGGCACGTTTCTGTGATGGTGACTCACTGGCTTCAGTTTCAATATTCTCTGTAAAGACAGAATCAAGATTTTTATACAGCATCGCTGTAACTAAAGATATATGTGAATTTTAGAGATTATTCCATAGATTAGTAGTTTGGATGTGTGGCGTGAAGCCACTGGAGGACATTTTAATGTATCATATTTCAAGACAAATAAACAGATTAAATTAACTAACTTTAATTAACTTCAAACATGAGTAGTTTAGATCAGGGGTCTCCAACCTGTGGCTCGGGAGCTACCAGTAGCTCGCCAGCCCCTTTAGGGTAGCTCCCCTAAAGATCATGAATTTAACACATGATCTTGAAGGATTTACTTTTGAGTCAATACATGTCTATTATAAGTATTATAAATATTTGATTATACAGTATTATGGTATATTTTACAAGTGTTATAGAGTAGCTCTCTGCCTCTTCTGTTGTATAATAGTAGCTCCCTGCCTCTTCTGTTGTACAAAAATAGCTCTCTGATTGAAAAAGGTTGGAGACCCTTGGTATAGAACGATGAAATTTCCTCACTGTGGGATGAATAAAGGATCTCTTGAGTGATTGTGTGTGTGTGTGTGTGTGTGTGCGCACACACACACACACACACACACACACACACACACACACACACACACATGCACAAACACAGAGTCTTACTGAGTCTTTTCCTTCTCTTCTTTTTTGCAACAATCACTTCATCCCTCTCATGTCCGCTGTGCTCTTTGTGGTGCGTGAGAACGAAGCAGGTCTCCCACACCACAGGGTCTTGCTGTAAAGCTTGTTTCAGGGCCTTGGAGGCTTTCTTACGAGTTCTCTCCTTATTGTCCCCAAGCTATAATGAAGAATGTACTTGTTAGTAAAGAACAACATCATTTTATAAATGAAAATTGAAAAAACAAAGTCATGATAAAAATGGTAACACAATTTGGCATGAATGAAACTGCCTAGAACATACAATTTATGTCTCAGTTACAGATATTGTGTGAAAGCCATTGTCCATCGTTTTTTGTAACTAATTCTTACCCTGAATTTAGGGAACATTGCAATCTTGCTGATGCATATAGTAGCTGGACATCCAACTTTTTTAGTATATTGTGAAAGAGATGTCTGACTCACAATGGTCTCGTCATCCATCTGAGGGAGACAAAAGGACTGCAGCTTTAGTCTGTGGCCACACATGGAAATCATCTCTAATAACACACACAGATTGTTTAAACATTCACGATGTAAGGAGCCTGTAAGCATATTTCTTTGTTTTCAATCCATTGAATAATTCGCCAGTGATATATAGTGCCACACAACCCGTGTGTTTTAAGTGCAGTATGTTAACCATGGTTTTAACTCACCATCTTTTTAGCTTTCTCTGCTGCGTACTTCTTTTTCTGCGCAACAGCACGGTCTTTACCTCGATGGCACCCAAGTCTTTTCCCCCCAACAAACATAAATGGGACCCCGGTGAATTCTATGGACGGCGAGCCTCCTCCACCAGACCACTGCCAGTACACTCTGTTCTTAGGTAAAGGCTGCCAATCTACAAACATGTAATAGAGTTTATAGTATGCCTTCTTGTGACGATTTGCTTATGTTTACATCTATCAGCAATTCAAAGATACTTGCCTTCTTTGGTGAAGCCGCGATCCACTGATACACAGACATATTTGGAGTGTGACTCATCCTCCACTCGTTTAATAAAAGTGTCAACCTCGGACAGACAGCTTATAACTTGCATTTTATTTATTTATCAAAATTCTAGAGATTTTTTTATTCGCTGACTGTCACGGCCGATAAATAAAACGTCATAGTTTGTATCAGCGAATGACAAAGCGAGTGTCGCATGTACGTCATCAATGCGCGACTCAATAGCGCAGGCGTCCTTCAAAGGCTCGTGTCGTAATTATTCTTTACAGAACACTAAACAAATGCTATGTGATAGCTGAGGGTTTCTAGGAGAGCGAGAGGGGTAAGAGGGTAAATATATTTATATTATATTCTGAAATGTATAGTGTTCTTGGAATAATCGTTGCTTTGGACCAATGGTTGTATTGAATTTCCTATTATCAAACTGTTCCTCTGATCTGTTGTTAGCAAATCAACAAGAATGCCACACACTTCGAGACTAGAACTGTTTTGAGAGTTAGGAACTTGTTAGATGCAGATTACTGATCTTTTCCTTTTTATTTAGTTAACACATAGAAGCTATACACATTATTGTGGCAGGTAAATTGATGACAGCTCTCAGATAACAATCCCACTCTCATTACATTAATCTGCCACAATGTTTGTGTTTTTGTGCCAGCTTTTGAAATATATTTTGTATTTTCAGTGTGTTGCTGTGTATCTGAGTGAAAGGTCTGACCACGATGACTGCCCCAAATTCATCTGAGAGAAAAGCATGCTGGGAGGCAAGAGACCTGCTGTGGAAATGTATGGATGAGCAGAACGACAATGTTGCACCATGTCAACGTTTTCAGATAGAGTTTGAAAACAAGTGTCCTGCTCAGTGGGTGCGTTTTCTGTTTGATATTCACATTTCAAAATGATGGTCTTAAAGAAATGCGATACACACAAGAATTCATCCATGTTTTTGTACATTGCATTCCCAAACTTAAAGTGCGTATGCCAGGCTATACTTTTCACAAAACACAGTTTACATCATTATGTTTAAAGATATTACTAATTTCTTTGAATTTTTTTTAAATCTTGCATTAACCCTATTATTTCATTTTATAATTTGATTCCTGGTTATTAATGATGTTACCTAGTGTTTGACCAATTAATTTATTAGAATATTTAGTTGCATGATTCTTTAAAGTGTCTGTAAATTGTGTCAAACTTTAGGATGAGTTCTGTCCATTTCTAGCATGATGTCATCCGTTCGAGAACGCTGCTCTACTTCCTGTAAATGACATTTTTCTTCACAAAATGTGCCTTTTACTGGTTTAAAACTATATTTTATATTTCCATCATTCAGCCAAATGAAGTCAAGTCAATGACATGAACCAATTCATGTCATTCAACCAAATTAAGTCGAAAAATATAAAATATAGAAACTTAAATCAGTATGTAAATGTTTACTATGTTTGAAGTAAGACATTTGATTGTAGATTAATCTTTATTGAATTTAGAAATATTGAATTTAGTTAACCAAATTGTTTTGGCGCTGTGTTAAGATTTTTTTGCAACCAAAAAAACCACCTTCAGCTTGTACGTGTCTAAGAAACTTTTCCTCTCTGCATTTTTAGGTCAAATATTTCATAAAAAGAAGGGATTTCCTCAAATATAAAGAGAAGATGCAGACAGATGGATTCACACCTGCTGAGGGGCCGAAAGAGGCTTCATAACCTCGAAACCAGAGAGACTTCTTAAAGCAAAGACTGTCCGGTATTTATTTGTACAGGAGCAAACAGAAATGTATCAAACCGCCTTAAATTATTTTTAATTTCACAGAGAAAATACATGTTTTCCAGAAAGTGTAAACAAAATGCAAAATGTTGACAGAAATTATCAGCAACATAATTTCAATCCTTTGTAACTATTGGACAGGTGAGGTAAGGAAGAGGCATGTGAGTTTCTAAACAGCCTGGACCTTTCCTCTGGTTGGATCTGATGAATATTTTACTAACTTTTGTCCCTTTATCATGTATTGGTAAAAAAAAGGAACTTCATGTCGTTAAGCGATTTGTCTTTTAGTTGCTTCATTGTTCTTAATAATAGAATCTTAACGGTCGCACCAACAATGCTGGATTTTCATTTACCGAACTTTGTTTAGGTTCAACACCAAATAAACTTCTTTCAAATGTTGATTTATTTCCCAAAGCAAATGTTTAATTTTGTCCAGTCAATAATAAAGCAAACAATGCAGTGGACAGGTTCATTTCTTTTCACTACTGTTGTTAGGAATTGCTCAATTTTGCTGGTAGAGGGTCTACATTTTGCTCATTTAATATGTCCTTTCTCTAAAGGAGTGCCCAGTCTCCACAGAGGAAACTTATTTGGACGTCTTATCAGTCAATCAATCAATAACATTTTATTTATAAAGCGCTTTTCATACAAAAGATGCAACACAAGTGCTTTACAGTTTGGTTAAAGACAGACTTGGCAGGGTTCAGATGCAACCAGCTGAAAAAAGCATCATCAAGCATTATGTCCGTCAGCTTGTCCTTTCGGTCATTACCTAAATCTCATGACCATATTTGAGGGTGAGATGGTGGATTTGAGTTTGTCACAGAACAGGGAACAAAGGGCAGCTCGGGGCAGTTGGCAGGGGCAACAATGAGCACAGGTCTGACTTGAGGTCTGACTTGAGAACACAAGGCTCTGGTCACAGAGACCGCACTGCAGGAAAACATCCGTTATTAGCTAAGAGTTTACGCTGAGGATTATTCATACAAAGCAGTTACATTTCCACAACAGTGTAGTGGACCCTGTCAAAAACAGTTGAGTGATGCTTCAAAATTGTTTCACCATAAAAACATTTTTCTTGTGAGACAGATTTGTTTTGAAAATGAACATTAATGTATTAAATAAACATACTTAAATCATTTTGTGCACATTTTTATTTTCTTTGTAACATCTCTTGTTTATGAATAACATTCTGATTTCAATATACACAGGCATCTTATTTGAAAATAGGCACTTTTATTTATATTACATTTATGCATATCAAAGAAAAGAAAATGGTAACCCCACCGAGATGTGTGTGACCTTTGGCACCACTAAATAACTTAACACAAGCTCTTTACATTATTCTGTTGATGTCCAGCCCAATGCTCGTCCGGTAACATACTGTAAAAAAGTCAGAAATTGCACTGAAAAATATAAAAGTCTATCTTCTACTCTGCTAATACAGTGTGGTGAATGTCATGTACAGAGATTTAATGCCTAAGCCTTCATACAACTAAAATAACACTATATAAAATCATGTTTGCCTCGATTCTGAGAAAATCTTAAAAATCACTTCATTATTTCCTTAATACTCACATGTATGCAGCTATTGCTACCTGAATTGTTTTGACCCATGTTTTGCAACGTTGCAATATTTCGGTTAATCAGTGAGCCATCTTCCCAGTGATTGGAACTACAGCAGTACTTGTAGTGGTTAGAGAAGGCGTAGCTATATCACTGTTGCGCTAACAGACTGTACAATCTCGGACACATTCATTTGCACTTGCATTAATTCCTTCAAAATTTTTTTTTTTTCCTGACCAGTTCAATCCTTGCACATACGCCCTTGAAACACTGATGAAAATTCACCTGACCACGTTACACTTGAGAGAGGAGAGAGGGACATCTTCTGTAATCTTAGTTTAATCAAATAGGTTTCTAGAATTCGATTTCAGTTTTGGGGCAGTTTTTGAAAATCTCAATGTTTTCCCAGATCATTTTTTAATTAGATCCACAAACCCAGCATATTTTTATTATAATGTCTGAAAATCTTCTCCACTGATCAACATCCTGCATATGTTTTTGGAATACCACCTCTTTAGACTTTATGAGGGAATAATTTGACCATTTACCGACAAAGAATATGTGGAATTTTGACTGTTTTTGTTTCATGTGGATTGGTCCAGGAATTATAGAGTAATTGGCAATAAACTAAGACAAGAATTCTCACTTTTGACGATGACTATAGTTGCCAGGATCTTTGGAATGTTGTGTTGTCAATCTATTGAACTACTGAATTATTTTTTTTTTCAGAAATTGACTCTACAATTGCCAGTATCTGTTATAGCCGGGGCATTTTCCTTCCCAGTATTTTGGGTTTATTGTGGCACAATGCACTGCCGGGTTCCCCTCAGTGGTCGCTTTGGTGAAGGCTTCCATTAATGTAGTATGAATCTTTCTGTGGTCAGTTTGTGGAAGGTCTTAAAAAGCAACTTCATGTTGACCGTCTCTGATATATTCCCCGTTAGTCCTGGTGCTGTTATAGGCCCACGGTGACGTTCCTGCCCATGGCCCAGACGGGGAACTCTGAGAGGTTGAACAAAGGGACGCCCCAAGTAGTGATGGCCAACATGACCACTGCCACTCCGATCAGGTTCACTCCAAACCCAGCTTTCACCTGTGCACGGAGGAAAGGACCACATGGATAATAGTAATAATGCATCGGTTTGAAACAGCGCTTTTTTAGACACTCAAAAAGGCTGCACATGTCGCTATTATTTTATTGAATAAGCCATAATTTCAACAAAGGCTTGACATATGGCACTTCCTAGTCTATCTCATATATTGGTTTCACATTTGAATTCACATTTCTAATTAATTCTAGCAATATTCAAATGTTCTTGAATTAGTTTTATAGAACCAATGGTCAATGTCATGTTTTGAACTGAAAATATAAAGAACTACCTTTCCACATTCTAGTGTTTAAAAGTAGATTGTTGACTCAAAGTGCAGATTCATTTATTGAATGAATCTGAAGTCCAATAGCACGTGTCATATGAAGCAACCTCAGACTATTCTAGTTATGATAAATATCATATTTTCTGGTTTGATTTATTTCACTATGTAAGTCAGGAAGACATTTTGTCAAAAAACAACCCTGGACTAATAAGTAAATAAATAATGCATTTTGTCCAATACCTAACAATATATTTTTGTCAAAACTTAAAACTAAAATGAAACTTTCTTGTCAAACACTGCATAGACCCTAATTGCAGTGCAACACTGGTGGAGTTTCTGTTTTGCAAGTATTGACTAATGGTGGTCTTTGATGTTCATATGTTCTTATGTCAAAATAATTTAATGTATAAAAGTAAACGTTCTCACCATGTCTCGGATCTGCACGTGTCCATAACTGAAGACGATGGCGTTCGGGGGGTTTCCTACAGGAAGCATGACGCCGAACGACACGCACATGGTGGCAGGGATCAGGGTGTGGAGAGGGTTAATCTGCAGGGTCTCTGACTGTGAGAGAAATATCATTCTATAGTTTTTGATGGACAAAGGCATTCAGTTCTGTCATTGACCAGGCTGATAAACACTGGTGGTGCTGGACTTCGTAGCATTTGTCGATAGGAGGCAGCATTGTTCTCCAATTTCTCTGTACAAGCCAACGCTATGATGACCATTACAACACCAAACGAATATACCCACTTTTAAGACGCATTCTAGAAGGCTATTGTTAATAATTTTACTATCTTTTTTGATAAGATTGTAAAATTATTATTATAAAGATACATTATAAAAGCGCATGTGCTTTCAATAAATCCATTCATTAATCATGGGACTTTTCACTTTTTGCTTCATGGCTTATTACATGATCAACAGTCAAAATACATAAAGTGGAGCAGTACCAGTGCGCAGAGAATGGGCAGGAACACAGTGAGAGTGGCCGGGTTAGAGGCAAACTCTGTGACCGCGGACACTAGGAGGCAGGCCAGCAGGGTCACAGCCCACGGAGGCAGGCCGCTCATGGGCTCCAGCTGCCGACCGATCCACACGGACAGACCTGACACCTGCGGACAAGCATGGACGTATGTATTTCATATTTGTATTATCACCTGTATTTATACACCTGTCGTATAATAACAAAAGCAGTCTTATGTCAGGCGCTGAAGCATGTTGTTTTGAGATTAAACTATATTATGCTTGTTCCATTGGCGATTCTTGAGTAACACATTTGGAGAGATGATAGAATTTGATAGGATACATGAATACAAGACTTTACCTTACAGCCGGCTGCCAGAGCGTAGCCCCCTCCCACCAGGATCACGATCTCCCACGGCATCAGTCTTTGGAAGTCCTTCCAGGTGATCATTGGAGTCAGCGAGTCGTCCTCAGAGTCTAAACAATACACACATGTTATTCACATCCTGAATGTGCTGCTACTATTTTTATGGCCAGATTAAGAGGGTTCTTAATTCTCTAATGTGTGTATCCAGGTTCGTTTGTAAGTGACTGCCTGTTGCAGATTAGCAACATAAATGCACATATATAACTGACCCGTGTCGAAAGTGGAACATGTTTATTGCCGAGGTCTGACCCACTGACCTGCTGTCAACAGCAATAGTTGAAGATATGTTTTTCTCACTGATGCAGTTATGGGAAGATACACATTTTTTTCTTAAAATTAAAATTCGATATATGATTTATGTTTAAAGAGACGATTTCTGTATTGCATGTATTTCATTGAAAACCTGCAAAGGTCTAAAATACAAAAAGACTGTATGAAAGAGATGGCTTGCTACTGAATGATATTTAGTTGTTTTCAAAGGACATACTGTATATAACTGGACAATGATACTGACCTATGTCTTTACATCCAGATGAGCAGGAAGAGGAAAAGGGCCTTCGAGCCGGAATGAGAAAGAGGAGGAAACCCAACAGCACTGACACTGTGGCATCCGTCCTGTAGCCTTTTCTATAGAACGGAACAAATAGAGACCATTATTTTAATACGTATGAATGTACATTCCAAAATCCTTGTGGTTGTTCCTACTTCTCAAACAGCGAGGTCCAACCTGGGACGAAGCCTGGTTCTCGTGTGAACCACAGCAGAGTCATCAGGACGAAGAAGACTCCGGTCACCACCTCCGGGTAACTGCACACACACATAATCAATATTCAATTATCTACAGTATATGTTTTTCTTCCAGTTTCTTTGTGATGTTTGGTCTGATGTTTGAGTCTGGTCCTTTTCTACTCCTGGTCCAGATATAGTTTAACATTCTAACATTTACATTTTTTTACATATGCTTGTAAGGCAACCAAACAATACAATTTCTTAACCCTTGTCGAACTCAGGCAGAACAAGACATTATTATGGTTCTCAGGAAAGCAACCAAATTTAACTCATTTTAAAACTTTAAACAAACACATCATTAGAAGTTTAACATAGAACAGTGTTTGGTCCAGTTTTGATTCAATCTAAATCTAATTTTTTGTTTAGGGCCCCTGACTAAAATGAGTTTGACACCCCTTTCCTAAGCCTATATTTCTTTCGTTAGGGTTAAGGTTTCAATGTGGCTGCTCTGGTTCAAGCCATGTATTAGCTTTATAGTTTTATTTTACTAGACTGTCTATGAATGAACTCTCCAGAGCAATATTACAATGAAATCTGACCTGATTGGGCCCAGTTTTTCATATTCCTCGTGGATCCTTTGCTCCGACAGCATCTCTCGTCTGGTTTTGCGTTTCTTACTCAGAGAACAAGTCTCCCTGAAACTTAAGCACAAAATGAACACCATTATTCTAACCACACAGCACCAGCAGCGTTTAAGGTGAGACTCGCTCCAGCCGACAGCCGCAAAGTCAAGAAGGTTGATGTCTTTAGGTTTCAAAGCCGCAGACAGGGGATTATTAGTATGGCTGTGTCCACACTGACGACAAACCGAGGCCAATGTAGAGTGTGTAATTATATAGCTGCAATGACGGGGAGATCCCCAACCTTAACAGTCCATGCTTGTAACTGTATAATTATGTTTAGTCTAGACTCTTTCTATGAATCAAATATCAAGAGGTGCATGGAGAATGTAAATTAAATGCTGGCCACAACATTATCAATACAGTATACATGTATGAAATAAAACAAAAATGTAATTCTTCCTTAAACAAGACACAACCTTGTAAGTATCAAATATATAAATGTGTACTTGTTATGTCAAAAACACAGATGAAACCAGAGAAAATGAGATTATAATTAATCTAAGTTCATTCACTTCTGAAATCCAATTTACGATGTAAAACTTTTATATGGAAGACACAAGTGATATATATCATTCCTTTATTTCTTATAATGTGGATAATTGGTTCACATCTTGTAAAAACCCCAAATAAAACATCTTTTGAAAATGGACTGTAGACCATAATCATCAAAACTTAAGCAAAGGCTTGGCATATGTCACTTTACATGTACTGAGTCTGTGTCATACATTAGCTTCACATTTTAAGTTGAATTACATAAATAAATTTACTTTTGAACCATATTCTAATCTTCCGAGTTCTTGTGATAGTGTGTTGGACTATTGAATGTATTTGTTTGCGCGTTTATGTGTGTTTTTTAAAAAGAAAAAAAAATGAATGTGAAAAGTGTATGCATGAGATTCAATGACCAGATTAATATATCAAATAACCAGCCTGTCTCTATAAAGCGTGTCTATATAAATTCTATAATTCTTACAAAACAAGCTTACTTGCAGCCCAGAAAGAGGAAATGCAACCAGAGCCAGGTGAGGACCAGCATGATGATGGCGATGGGGAAAGAGAAGATGAACCAAGTTCCAAAATTGATGACTTTAGCATCTGGATAGCGCCTACAAAACAATGAGAAAATTGGATTCAACATTAGTGTAATCGGAAAGAAGCCCTTTTCAGTCAAGTTCTAAAACATATGTATAACCTTGTGGCCTTTTGTTGGCCCCATTTCTTGTCAAGTCGCAATAATCTGCAGTCAGTCTCTTATAAAAACAATTGATTTATCTTCGAATTACAAGTGATAAGATTTGGCGGTCAATATGCAGAGAGATAGTTGTGCTTGTGTAATAATAATCAGGGCTGAGCGATTGCAGTGTTGCTTTGCTCTCTACTGGAGAAATCACTGTATCATCACTTTTCACAAATGCATGTTTTGATTTTTAATTGTTGAGTTCAATTGTAACTGTTTCTTTTCCCCTGCAGAAAACCACCACTTCCTTTTACTTTCTGAACAGAATGTTTTCCTCGTGGTGAGAATGTTAATTAGGAGAGCTTGAACACTCTCTGAATGTGTTTGTAACCCACCTGGACTGCAGACAAGGTGGCCCCTCTGTTCCTTCAGTTAACTTATTGTCAGTGGGAGAAAACAAGTCTTGGGAAGGACAACAGATTTGGGAAAACTCCATAAAGCCGTTTTCAAAAAAGAGATATCGAGTTGTATAAACGTTTCTGATTACACAGGCATTAGCACAACCCTTACATTCGCCCCTTCTATTTTTGTTGAGTTTGTTCAATATACAGTATAACAGAACACAAAAGCACATTCTTCGACAAAACCCGACCTTTGGAGCAGATTTTGTGGAGCTTAAGGCATCGACTGAGGGGGTTTGTCTGGATCCGAACCACAGTAGAAAAAAATGCTAGTTCCATTTAAAACTAAAGAAAAAATACTTGGAGAAAGATTCTCCTAAACTAAGGTGTGAATTCTTTTCTTTAATCAATTATCACATTTATCAGACATATCGATTTATAGATGTAATCTTTAGGTCACAAAATATTGTTAAAAGCAGAGTTTAAAGCAGAGTTTAAAGGATTTTTTTTTTTTTGATAAAAGGAATAGTATGTATTATTGATGTAAATGGACAATAAAGGCCACGATTATCTTCTTTTAAGGAGCAGTTTCATATCAAGGCAAAAATAATACATTCGTAGGATTTTAGAATATTTCAACAACAATTGTAGCAGCAGCAGCATGTTTCCATGACAACATGTCACCAGCACATCATTCACACCCCCCTCATGACTTTGATGAGGTTTTTGTGGCAGACTTGAGTCTTGCTAGTATATTTTGGCAGCTACAAAAATGGGTTAGGAATAGAGAAATGTTTTACCCAAAATAATACATAGTGTACCTTTTTAATGTGGATTGACACATTAAAAAGGTACACTATGTTTTGAGGGCAATTACCACGCCCCCTTTTTAGCTGACCAATGGATCGACCAGGAACGTCTATTGTATGTAACACATTGAATTGCTCGACTACCGCCCTAGAAGTGACACACTGAATTGTGAGTTTTTACAGTTGGTGACAGCTATTGCACATGTATATGGATAAGGATGAGTACAGATACAGTATATGGCACAGTAATCCATCTGTAAGCACTCACGTGTTGAACTGCTCGGAAAAGATGAGGTTTGTGGACGTGCCGGTGATGGTCATGAGTCCTCCGATGGTGGCGGCGTACGTGATGCTCAGGGTCAGGCATTTGCAGATCATATGGTCCTTCTTTGTCGGGTACTGCGAGTCTCTCCTCATCTTCACTCTCTTCACATTTGGGATCTCTACTGCCAACTGGGAACAAGAAATATGGGTTTAACAATCGACTTGATGAATTTGGGCATAAATGATAGACAAGTTAGAATATGTCTTTTGACCATGTAATATCCATAGTTCAAGCTGGGGTACCTAACTTTTAAATCAGGAAAAATGGAATCAAATCTATGAGGCTCGAAACATCTAATCGTCCAACCTTTGCGATCCATCACACCCACAGTGCTTCCGTTGGCTCCTTCTCCTCCGTGGGTGCATTGGCAGCTGAGGAATCATTTGGAACTTTACAAAACGACACTGACCTGTGGTAAATGTCCATTTGTGTTCTTTGTGCCATCTGAGATTAGACAGAGACCGTTCAGCCCTCCGCTCTATAAGATGGAAGATACACTGACATTATACAGAAAAGCTGATACATTTCACTACAGAGACAGTCAAGTACACTATAACCTTAAATCATACACAGAACTATAACTGCTGCTCACCTCACTGACAGCAGACAGTTCCTGTTTAGTGCAGTTATGGCTGTGGAAAGAGGGATTCACATTATAGTAGAACAAACTTGAATACAGTTTCTAATGTTGGCGCTCTTATTGTACCTATCATCGCGATAAAGCAGCTCCAGTTGGTTTTTCTCCATGCTTTTCTCCAGGTCCTTCTCCTTGTCTGAAACATGATGATAGACATTCTGTTGCAGGCTGATTTTTCTATACATTTTGAGTGTCCAGATAAAACATGTGTGACTTATTCAATTGGATGTGGCATTGAATGTCTTACGTCTGAACCACAGGCAGTCATTTTATCCAATAACATTATGTATTACATTATGCAATACTATTGTTACTTCTAATACTACCCCAAGTTTAAATTCAGCCCAGAATTCAGACTAAGATAAAAAGTGCAAAATCCGACTCCCCATACCGTGGTCGTCTGGGGGGTCGTCCTCAGTCCCGTCGGTGCTGTCAGGGTTCTCCAGGTTGTCCGCCAGCCCGGTGCAGATGAGCTGCTGCAGCACTGCCTCTGCGATGGGCATCACCATGGCTGTGGTGGACGTGTTACTCAACCACATAGACAAGAAGACCGTGCAGCACATGAAGCCCAGCACCAGCCTGAGGCCACAGAGGAACAAGGAGAACCAGGATCATTATGACAGATTACGGTAAGACTGGCGTCCATTTTAAAACGTATGTCTGATTTTAATGTCATTCTTGTGAATACACCTAATTTTTGGACATTATAAATGATAATGAGACATTCTTTGTCATGTTTTAGAATGTGAAATAATATGTCCATTAGAAATGTACAAAGGGTAAACTTCCTGCTTATCCGAGCCAGAGAATCTGAAACTTTAAATCACTTCTCAATTCCACCTGTTTTACCTTGCCTTTCCTTAATATTGTTCTTCAATGTTTAGTTTTTTAATGTCTTCTAAAGCGTGTCCAAAGGTGCAATATACTGTAAGTTTAATCATGCATTATTGATATTATTATTTTGTGTTGTAGAATGGGATTTTTTCCCCCAAATTTTAAAATTACCAGCAGCGAACACAGCCATGTCATTGTGAAGAATATCTACTCTCTAGAGCAATTCCCCAGATTCATTTATGGGCACTACTTTTGTATCAATTGACGGAAATGTCCGTGATGTCATAGTGGTACAATGACATAATACCAGTGGGGGCGGGTCCCGGCTCAAAAGTGGCCAAAATGACGTGCGCTGACATGCTTGCAATACCACCCCGGGTCAATGGGGTTGGACCCGGAATAAGAATAAGCCAATGCTAACATATAGCATCTTCTTACCTCACAAAAACACCTTTACAGGATTGTCCAAAAGTTGGCTCTTGGCCCAAAGCTCCGTTCCACATGTGTGTCAATGCTGAGGGGAGTGAATTGAGTGGTCCTTTTTTGGACCACTCTAGTTTACTTGCTGTGAATTTTTGAAGTTACTCATTTGAATGAATGGGGTTCGTGCCGGCTGACGCATGCGCAAATGCGTATTTTCACAATTTTCTTGTGGGCGGCCATTTTGGATAGCTCCAGTAGAGCACAATTTTTGGCCCATTTGTTTGAACGGCAGAGATAGGCGTGACTACGTCCGTTAATATTTACAGTCTATGCAAAATACTACTACACGACTAATACAGGAGCCTTTAGACAGAAGGGGTGGAGTTACAAGTTTGTGCCAGAAGTTGATATTAGCATGTATGGATCTAAAACAAATCCAGGTTGTTTTTAGATCCTGTAAACATGGAAAGGATCTCAACTAGAAAACTGTATGATGGTATTTTTGTGTGAAACACAAACACGCCATAGGCCTTGGATTAGATATACTGTAAATGAGGCTTGTTGGGTTAAGCGTTTCTAAGTGCTCAGGATTTCCCATGCAACTCTGAATCAGAATCAGAATCATTTTTATTGCTACGTAAGTCACAGACTTGGAAATTGCTTTGGCTCAGTGCAACAGTCAGAAAGAGATAATAAAAAATAAAGAAAAACAAAACAAAAAAAACTCTGAGAACATTATTCCATAAAGTTACTGGCACTTTGAGTTTCCTTAATGCATTTTGTGGCATATGAACAGAACTCATTAAAGGCAACCAGTGATACAGTATACTGCGTTTCCAAGTGACCAATTTAATTCAAGTCAATCTGATTTATTTTTGTACAGCCCTAAATGGCCACAACAGTCGTCTTGGAGGTCCTCAACAGCAGATTGACCATCCACTTCTGAAAACAGCACATTCCTAGTATTGAAATTCAATTTGAGATTAAAGTTGAGATTTGTAAAATTGTCACTTTTAAGGTTTCCTTGATAACTTTTCAAAATAATGTTTGTGATCTAAAGAGGTTTCTTACATTCCTGGTTTGGCTCCTGCGACCATCACCATCCTCAGAGCAATGCGCTTGTGCAGGTTCCACTTCTCAATAGAAGCTGCGAGGCAGATCACTCCCATCAGCAGCAGAGTGGTGTCCTTACAGTACTCTGCTGCCACCTGGAAAAACACAATACTATTCACCAAAAAGACATGCACCACATTAGACCTACGATAATGGCCAGAATAGTTATGGCCATTAAGGACAACAAGTCATTATGGCGTCACGGTCGACAGGTCCTATTTGGAACAATACGGTGAGATCTACAGCTTATCTTAAGTTTGATATAAATGCTAATTATATCATCCGAAATATCACGTGTGATAATACAGTACACGTTATGTAATATTCCTCAGTGCAGTTGCATGTTTGGATTTAACAGTTTTCCATGTGGTTCTATTAATCTGTTCCAGTGAGCCACAGTTCACCGCTCCACACTCTTATATAAGACTGTGCTCTCACCTCTCCGCATAATGTATACTTCTGTTTTTCACCCAATCTTGGATTCCCATACAAGCACATAGGCTTTTCCAAATAATTGTAATATACCGGTTTTATAAGCACAAAAACATGCTTTTGTCTGAGTTGGGAGAAGAGTGTAAAATTCCAGATATGGTTTAGTTTATATTAAAAACTGTCACTAGTTTTGTCTTTGGCTGATTTCAGACGCTTGCTCGCTGTAGAAGCACGATATAAATTTCAGGAATACAACCAGATAGAATAGAATATTTGTATTGTCTGTCACACGCCGTGACACATACCCATGTTTAAAACTGAAAAAATACCTTTTCTGAGGATTACGAAACCTAAGTAATAGTCTTGGCCTGATTCATAAACCGGAAGAGTGTGCCTTTAGTGGGGCACAGTGGGGCACAGACATCACGACCATCTCCACCGACTCCCGAGGTCTCTGCACCCCCACCGCCTCAAAAGAACTCCACACCTCCACGATTCAAGAAGAACTCAACACCTCCAAGGTTCCAAAAGAACTCAACACCTCCACGGCTTCGAAAGAGCTCAACGCCTCCACCCCCAGCATCATCAGCAGCTGCCACATCTTCATCAGCGCCATCAGCATATACAGCACCACCAGCAGCAGTGGATACAGCCGCAGCAGTGCAGCTGGCTGCTCCATCATCTTCAGCAGCAGCAGTGGCTGCTCCATCATCTTTCACGCAGCAGCAGCAGTGGATACTCAGCAGCAGCAGTGGCTGCTCCATCATCTTCAGCAGCAGCAGTGGATACAGCCGCAGCAGTGGCTGCTCCATCATCTTCAGCAGCAGCAGTGGCTGCTCCATCATCTTCAGCAGCAGCAGTGGATACAGCAGCAGCAGTGGCTGCTCCATCATCTTCAGCAGCACCTTCCCCACCTACAGCTCCCGTGAAGCTTCCCCCATTACTCCAGGCTACAGTCAGGCCTGTACTGGGGGTTCCTCAACCACCTCTGTCTCCACCAAAGACTCCCTCATCACCTTCCATGGACCCGGCTTGGGTCCCCCCCGCTACATCCACTCCATCTAGGGAAAATGAGGACGACCTTTCCCTTTGTTTTCTATCCCCGCCTTCACTACTGGATTTACCGGAACACTCTGCAGGCATGATAAGATCGGCGATGAAGACTATTCCTCTCACACCCACTGTAGCCAGATCAAGAGTCCTATCTAACATTCAAAACTACTCCCCATACGTACCTCCAAAGCCACCTAGGGCGTCCAACTCAAATTCTCCCACAAAATCCACCCGTCCCTCCTCTAACCCCATAAGTATTCCACCCCCCCCTCCTGCTCATTTAGCCCCCCCCCCCCCCCCTAACTCAGCACCAAGAAACCCTCCACCTCCACTCCCCCCTCGTCCACCACCCAACTCAGCCTGCCCCTCCCCTAACCCATCACCAAAAACCCATCCACCTTCAACCCCTCCCCGTCCAACTCCCAAGAACACACCTGCCTCTCCATCCTCTTCCCCCACCTTCCCCTTCCCCTCGACTCTCTAAGCACTAGGATGCACAGGGTCTCTGCTTCGCAGCCACTGGCAGTCTAGTTAGAGGAGAGACCCGGCTGGGGCCCTGTCGTGAAGCCACCTGTGCCATTCCCTTAGTGATAACACAAAGAATACATAACAGAAAAACATCTGGAGTTAATCAGTCTAATCAGGAAAATCTAATTCTTGTTCCGTGTAAGAATCAGCCGACCACAACCGCTGATCCTGAAACTTTGAAACTTGCTATGCTAAATGTCAGATCTCTTTGTAACAAGTCTTTTTTAATCAATAATTTTATTTGTTCTTATAATCTAGATCTTATGTTCATGGCTGAAACATGGCTTGACCAAAATACAGAAAATGCAGTTTTAATAGAAGCATCACCACCAAATTTCAAATTTGAATCTGAAATACGGGAAAACAAAAAAGGAGGAGGCTTAGCTGCCATTTTCAGAGACCACTTTGTCTCCCATAGAATGTCTCTTGGGAAGTTTCCGTCTTTTGAATATGTGTCTTTTAAAATACAACAAAAACAATCTCCTCCAATACTTTTCGTTGTCCTATACAAGCCACCGCAGTCATGTCACAGTTTTATTGATAATTTTACAGAGTTGCTTTCAGTTGTATGCACAGATTTTGATAGTTTAGTTATTACAGGTGATTTTAATATTCATGTGGATAATGTTGATGACAGAAATGCTAAAGAGCTGAGTTCTCTTCTTGAATCTTTTGGTCTCACTCAGCATGTGAGTGGCCCCACCCACAGCAAAGGGTACACTCTAGACCTGTTAGTTACAAAGGGGGCGAACATTTATAATGTAAACGTGGTCGATGTTGCGCTTTCGGATCATTTTTGTATATTTTTTGACATGTGTTTCACTAACAAACCACCAGTGGACTCTGCAACTGTACGAAGAAGACACATAAATGAAAATATGGGTGAACTATTTATGGGAATGATAAACTTTGAGAATGCATCGTATTCTACTGTAGATGAACTGTTTAACTCTGTCACCTCTAGTGTTTTGAAAGTTCTGGACACCATCGCTCCTGTGAAGGTTAAAATAGTGAAAAATAAGCAGAAGGCGCCGTGGGCTAAAGCAGACTCGGTCAGAGCACAAAAGAGAGAGTGCCGGAGGGCCGAGCGGAAGTGGCGCAAGTCCAACCTCCAGGTTGATTACAAGATCTTCAAAGATAAGTTGTGCGAGTTTAACCAGGTGCTACGTAGTACGAGAGAAAGGTATTTTTCTGAAATGATTGAAGGCTGCAGCAACAATCTGCGTGTTCTGTTTTCAACAGTTAATAGATTAACAAACCCCCCTGTTCAAATGCCATTAGAGCTAACTTCCAAACGTAAATGTAATGAGTTTGCACATTTTTTCAATGACAAGGTTCAAGGCATCAAAAACGCCATTGTCTCCAATCCACAGATAACAATCCAACAGCCAGAAAGGCTCTTTGAGCTAACTTACTTTGCACCTGTAAATGATCAAACTGTCCAAGAGATAATCTCCAGTTTGAGCTCCTCCACATGCAGCCTGGATGTACTACCCACTAGATTTCTAAAGTCTGTTCTGAGCAGTCTGTTACCTTCACTCACACAGATAGTAAACATGTCCCTTGATTCTGGAATATTCCCAAAGGCCCTGAAAACTGCAGTCATCAGGCCCCTGCTAAAAAAGAGCAGTCTCGATGCTACGGTACTTAACAACTATCGTCCCATCTCAAATCTGCCATTTATGGGGAAAGTCCTTGAGAAAGTTGTCTACCTACAGCTTACTAGATTTCTTATAATCAACAACTCATTTGATATGTTTCAGTCCGGCTTTAGACCCCACCACAGCACTGAGACTGCTCTCGTTAAGGTTACAAACGATATCCGGCTGAACACTGACGCAGGCAAAGTCTCAATCCTAATCCTGTTAGATCTAAGTGCTGCCTTTGATACTGTCGACCATGAGATCCTCTTACAGAGACTAGAGGACTGGGTTGGCGTCGCTGGCACCGCCCTAAGTTGGTTTAGGTCTTACCTTGAAGACAGGAAGTACTTTGTGGAGATTGGAAACTGTGTCTCAGATCATATGGCCCTGACCTGTGGAGTACCACAGGGGTCGATCCTGGGACCTCTTCTGTTCAATCTCTACATGCTGCCGTTAGGTCAGTTAATACGCAGAAACAAAGTTTCCTATCATAACTATGCAGACGACACTCAGATCTATGTCTCACTGACTGCAGGAGAACATGGACCAGTGGACTCACTCCTTCACTGTATCCAACAGATCAGTGAGTGGATGCAAAACAACTTCCTTCAGCTAAACGCAGACAAAACTGAAATGATTGTCTTTGGTCCCCAGAAACAAAGAGAGAGCGTCATCTGTCACCTACAGTCTCTCTCCCTCAAACCTTCAAACAAGGTCAGAAATCTAGGGGTAATACTGGACTCAGACTTAAATTTTAATAGCCACATCAAATCAGTAACATCAGCAGCTTTTTACCATCTAAAAAACATTGCCAGGATCAAAAACATAGTGTCTAAAGCAGACTTGGAGATTCTTATCCATGCATTTGTCTCCAGTAGGTTAGACTACTGCAATGGCCTGCTCACAGGTCTGTCCAAAAGGCTGTAAAACAGCTGCAGTACATTCAAAATGCAGCAGCTCGAGTCCTGACTAGAACCAGGAAGTACGACCATATTAGTCCGGTCCTCAGGTCTCTGCACTGGCTTCCTGTGGCTCAGAGAATAGACTTTAAAACAGCTCTGCTTGTGTACAAATCTCTCCATGGCCTCGCACCAAAATATATTAGTGACATGTTAGTCCCATATGAACCAGCCCGGACTCTGAGGAGCACAGGGACTGGACTCCTGTTAGTGCCCAGAGTCAGAACTAAACATGGGGAGGCTGCTTTTCAGATTCATGCTGCTAAAATCTGGAACAATCTTCCTGAAGATGTGAGACAGGCCTCCTCTCTGACAATGTTTAAAACCAGGTTAAAAACGGTGCTGTTTAGCTGTGCATACAACTGAGGGATTTTATATTTTTATCTTTCGTTTTAATGTTCTGTAATTATTTATGATTTTAATGCTATCTTGTTCAGCACTTTGAGTTGCCTTGTGTATGAATTGTGCTATACAAATAAACTTGCCTTGCCTTGCCTTGCCCTTAGTTTGACCCCGAGATTACACCGTGTGGCGCTGGTGTTATAATCTCATTATGTTACACATAAAAACAGACAGATTAAATCCAGGCTTTACAGAACTCTATACATTTCTTCGATACTTAATCACTGGCTCTGGGTAACAGAGAGTTGAGCAGTGCAAAGGTTAAATGAGGAAACACTATTTTATCACTATTAATGATATTTATTTATATCATTTACCCACTTCCAAGTCATTTCACAGTATTCCCAACAGGGGTCTGCTAAAAAAAAATAGAATCAATGTTAAGATACCAACACATTTAAATTAGATATATTATCAAACCTATAATTAGTAAAATGGATACTGATAGTGTAAGTCTTTCGATATACTGTATTATGTGAGATAAAAATCATATGAACTGGCTCTGAAAGATATTAAGTAGTAGCAATCTTTATTTATATACCGCCTTTTCACTGCAGATCAGAGTCTCAAAGCGGTTTGCAATTGTTATTTTTGGGCATTTGTCTCTCACACAGAGATGAGAGTGGGGTCGCCAGTACAGGAGGCGCATGCCAGACCTATTGTGCATGTTTTTAGTGGTAGGGGAAACCGGAGTACCCGGGGGAAACCTACGCAGACATGGGGAGAACATGCAAACTCCACTCAGAAAGACCCTGGTCCAACCGGGATTCGAACCCAGGACCTTCTTGCTGAGAGGCGAGAGTGCTATTCAGTCAGCCACCGTGCCGCCCCTGCTTACTAGACACCATTGCTCTGAAGATCCCCTTCTTTTCTGGTTTATTCCGCAATTTGCGATTTTTTGTGTGCAGTATTATTATTATTATTATTATTATTATTTTCATTATACAGTATATTTTACATAACTAGATAGAAGACCAAAGCACAATATGTCACCAGTTCATAACCAGTTAAAATATATCATTAGCTGGCCTTCATTCATTTCTCATCAATCTATCCACATGCATGGTGACAGTAGCGTTGACCCACATTTTCATTCATTTATCTGATAGCAAGAAAATCACTCACAAAGAAACATTTGTCGAAACATTTTGACGTTTCATACTAATGCAGAACTTCACATGAGAAGGACATATCAATATATGTGAAAAGTAAAAGTACAAAGCAAAGCCTCACCTCGCTGGACTTAAGCACCCCAAACAGTGGATAGAGGAAGGCAGGGACCAGGGCAGCAGCACCCAAAGGAACCGCCTCGGACACCCAGTAAATGGCAGTGACGATCAGGACGTACGCACAGCATGCCTCCTGGACAGAAACACATTCATCATTTCGAACGCTTTGAACAACAATATCACTACCATCTAATCCATCAGTTTGACTTCAGCAAGCATTAAGTACACCAGCTGCACCAACCATCGAACAAAGGGGGCATCCACACTGTAACTGGTCTGGGTCACTTGTGGAGAAAATACTTCACAAATGTCTTTCATAATAGTGACCTAAGCGTGTTTGGTGGTTTTCATTCACATCCACACACAAAAAGATGAAATGGGAACTATTACAAACCATTACCATTACAAAACACTATCCCTATCAAATTAACATAGATTATTAATTATCACTAGGACGATGGTTCATCAAATTATTGCATTGATATTATTAATTTGCATGTGTGTGTTTGTATTGTGTTAACATTTGCTTCATCCAACCCCTTTTCAAACTCTATCTTTCAAATTGAATACATTGTTTGTTTTGTTTTGCTGTTTGAAAAGTATAAGTTTGAAAAAAAAAATTCTCACACTTTATTAACTCAAGTTACTTTAATTGACTTGAAATAACTAAACGTGCCTTTAGCTGTGGGATTAGAGCAGGAACAGAACAACATGTTTTGGATTCTAAACTCAAATCCTCCAGGCACACATTGGCAGAGCTGTAGAAGATCGCACTGTTTGGCCTTTACTGGCGATATCAAAAAAGTGAAACAAGAATGTGCAGATTGATTATTGGATTGTTTGCTCCATACAAGTTAGGCATGTGCTGAGTGAGCAACAAACTTTATACTGTCATGTGTCCAGTGCAGATGTCAATACTAAGCTCTGTGTCCAAGAAGCAATATCACAAAGTTGAAGCAAATGTATCATATGGATTGTTTTGTTTTCTCCTGTATTCTCCTCTGTGTGGAATGCGCAACGTAATTCGGATTTTTGATGTCTGAGCTGTGGATGTCACGTCTGTTTCCTAAAAGGTACAAACAAGTGGGGACCATATGGAGTAAAATGTCACTAAACTTCCACACATAAGAATAATGGCAGGTTTGTAAATCTAATCACTATCGAATAAGCAACTGGGAATTTTTTTTTACTTTTTTTTGTAGTCTGGTTTGGTTTAAAAAAAAATTCACAGAAACGTTACAACGTGGTCTGTAAATAAAAGACACTGATTGGGAGCTACGTAGCTGTGCAGCTTTTTTTTAAACTTTTTTTTTTTAATACTAAACCATAAATCAGTACGGACCTTTTAATCATAGAATAAATAAATTGGGATATAATTTTAGATATGGATGGACAAAATTGATGTTGAAATGAACACAGGGTGGCAGGACTTTATTCATGTTGAGCAAAATGTATCTAAGTGCAGAGACTGAAACTCCGGAGTGGGTTGGTTTGGACCCAGTGGGCTTCCGTACATTTCCAGCCAAGGTCCCAGCTCGACGCTCTTGTTCTGTCAATCTACTATTCTGATTCATGAAGGAAACTATATGTGCAACGGAGAAATATTATCGTCTTTTGATTTCACAAACCAAGGCCACACAAAGCAATGTTACAAGGATTTGGAGAACTGACATTTTTCCATTCACTCACGTTGATGACAGAAGAGAGACCTGAACACTGACACATGGATGCCTCCGACCATCACCATCCGTTCATTCACTAAATACATTTTTACCAGACATGTCCAGACAAACTAATCATGGCCCGCTGTGTCATTTTATGTAGCCAAACTTGCTAACCCACAGTAGTCAGTAAGATCATAAACCCAAGTTCACAGTGTCATCCAGCCAACAACTTAGCCAATAAAGGCAATTGTTTTTGATTGCGTCACACAAATCCAGCATTAATCAATATGTTGAGATGGGAATTTGTAATTCAGTCAACTTCAGCAAAATCTATTCTGGCAACAGCTCAATACAGACAAAACAGTTTAACAATCCGTGTTATTGGCTCCTGGACTAGCCTGGTTGACTAAGGTGGTCCTCTTACTTAGGGCAGAAATAACTAATCGATTAATCGACGACTAATCGATTATTGAAATAGTCGACAACTATTTTAGTAACCGATTAATCGTTTTCTGGTTCACACGGACTCAAACAGAGCAAAAATGACATGAAAATGTAGTATTTTTGATTAAAACCGACTTTTTTATAATTTCATGAATATATGTCTCATCCAATCAGATAGCAGAATTAGCACAAAGAGCCTGTTACAAACATTTACTTTAAGTTTACGCTATCAATACGTCCTCGAGTGTTGCCACTTTAGCTTTTTGTGATGAAAAAATATTTTTTTTCTACATAATTCACAGCCAAGCGATTACTCGATTAATCGTAAAAATAATCGATAGATTAATCGATTACAAAATAATCGTTAGTTGCAGCTCTACTCTTACTACAACATTTGGACATGTTTTGTTGATCAGTTCTTTGTAACAGTCGTAACACTGCGAGGACAGGGCACAAACAACTAAGTTCTAACCAAATGTGTAAATCCTAAAGATGATTGCTTCTGGAGTAATTGAGTCAGTGGCATGTGACCTTATCTGAGTGGCCTCTGTTTGATAAAGCTGTGAAGAGCTAAAGGAGCAGTTTCTCTATTGACGCTCTCATCACTGAGGAAATGTGCATAATGAACAACTAATGACTTCTCTGGTGGGTTTCTCCTTTATTCTATCCAAATTATAATTCAGACTTTTCACCTATTCTAGAAGAACATGTTTTTTTTTTTTTTTTATGATCACACAAGCTTTTTAAATGGTTATTCAATGAGTTAAGTTTTGTTGTTGTTGGCATCCAAATTAATTGTATCATGGGATAAAGGTAGTGTAAATAGATGGCTCAACGTCATTTTCATAATGCATTTAATCTTAGTCAATCTGAGTGCAATACAAAAAAGGATTTTGCACAAAAAGAACAAAAGGAATATAATAAGAGCAGCGATGGACCTGCTACGGTTTGCCAACCGACCGAGCGTCAGAGTGGGGGACCCATCACCTCCCTCCTCCACCGCTCGCTGTCCCACCTGGACTGTAACCTGTCTAAGTGGATCCTGGGCAGACCTCACAGACAGACCCCAGTGTGAGAGAGCCATGATGGTGATACTGTAGCGTTAATTAAATTATGATTATAAGTAATTATCTCATGGCTTCAATAGTTTGCATTGCCTTGAGGAGGTAAAAAACAGCTTTAAAGCTGAGGTACCTAACTTTCAAATCACAACATTCAACTATAAAATTTATCTAATTTCTCACTCTCAAAACAATTATATTTCACATATTTTTGACCACTGTCACACCTTTAGATCAGCTTTTTGTGTTTTAAGCACTCGGCTCAAAGCACCAAATTGTGACTCACAGGGATCTTTCCTGCAAGTATACAAAACGTTTTTAATAAGATTAAGACAGCATGTTGTGGTATTTATTATTTATGAAAGAACAAAGTTAGGTACCTTAGCTTTAATTGTCATTCACTCTGAGTTGCAGACAGAAGTTCACATAAGGCTTATGGCCGTATATATTTGTAATATCAACATGATGCCAAAAGTTAGGAATATCTGATACTCAGATACTAAGATGTCTTAATATCAGCTTGATTTCTGCTGGTCATCTGACCGATATCAAGAGCCAAAATGTCAACAATAAAATTCTGCAGAGCACTTTGTGCCTATGACCCACTGTGACTGCACCCCGCTGGTAGATACCCCCCCTTCATGCCCCGGGACGCAGCTGCATGACCCTCAGGAACCCTCTAATACACACACACACACACACACACTCCCTCACATTCCTCTCCCGCCATGTGTCGTAAGGGTGCCACGCAGGGCCAATCCAGCAGGTCCAGCTCATTATTATTACATAACATAATGGCAAGGATTTTTTTTCTGTCATCAAGTGTCCTTTGTTCTCCCTGGATTCAAACGGCGTGTTGAACTTCTGCCAATGTCCACGAGTCCACACACGCGAGAGACAGCGGGTTTCTGTGCAGATGGGTCATTAAAGGCACTTCTATTTGTGTTATTCATGGAAAAATAATAAGCAGGTTGGTTTGTTTTAGATCAATGAGTTATGTTTGTAGAAAAAAGTTGCAACACCATGTACAGAATGCGTTTGGAAGTGGCACCTGGTTTGCTCACATATAATTATTTTCTCTAATATTCCTGACCTGTTCTCATGTATCCCCTCAAAACTGTGTGTTTGGGTGATTGCATTCAAAAGGGCAATCAAGTTACGATCAAAATTGAAAAAAGTCTTGCTAATGGAATATTTTAAAGAGACCAAATCTAAATGAGAACACCCAATAAAACCGTGAGTTGGCTTTGCTTGGTCTATCTTCTGTATACATGTAAGAAAGTGCCTTGTTAGTCACTATTTGACGCTTTAGTATGAGAGCTGATTGGTTGAGTGGGGGTGGTCACTTTTTTCTTGAAAAGTGAGTCTAAAGAAATTATAGAGGTCCAAGATATTTGCATGAGAAAACTAGTGATAGATCCAAACTGTTTTGAGAGCGCGAGGAACTAGTTACATGGACAAAGTTACATTTGATGCAATTTGAAAATGAGAAGCTTGGGTCCTGTTAGCTCTGCTTTGACAGGCGCTATATTCTCAACGCCTAATAGTAGTGGGCATTTATTTTCTCACTCCAGACTGAGGGAAGGAGGGTCGCCATACAGGAGGCGCATTGTATCTATTGTACATGATTTTAGAGATAGGGGAAACCGGAGCACCAGGAGGAAAACCTATGCAGACACAGGGAGAACAGTAGCATACTCCACACAGAAAGGCCCCATCCCGGGAGGGGGAATCAAAACTAGGACCTTCTTGGGTTTAATTGCTGCAGTCCAGTAACTCTAGGTGTGTTTAATATCCAAAAATTCATCAAATAAGTTTCCATGTATTTGATGACGCTGTGAGACTAATGGGTCATTTCCTTTTTCTAATGAACGAGCGGATCTGGAGGTTCTCTGAGATGGTAAGTGAAATATATTTTTAGTAACTGTAGAACTGTTCAGACATTTTCACCACCGCTGATACACACCCATTTTTTCCATGACTTACTAACAATTTTTTTAGATTTTGACGGCCAAATATTCTAACTGCGATTACTGTAGATTTTCTGGGATACAGAGACTTACTCACGAAGGATTTGGTTAAATTACACTGCAAAATATGCAATTATGAGACAAAACCCTATTGTTATGTAATCGTTTCTATTTATTTTTGAAGATTTATATTTTTGAAGTAGTTTTTTTTTTTCAACTTACAAGGTATTCAGTGACTAGGCTATTCAAACATGACATCATCACAGTCAGTATAGTGGCCACTCTCCCCTGTTCTGATCAGTCACATGCTCCCACCCTCATGCACAACTAACTATAGCATGTACAGTAAAGCTAACAAGTTCCTGAAAAGCTTATGTTTGGATCACTGCAGATTACCATGAACTCTGCGTATACACATGTTCCAGAAACACAGACGTTTTCAAACTACAGCAAAGAAACTGAATCTCCGTCAATCCTGTCGAATAGAGTAGTTGACACGTCCTCTGTGTTTTGGAGCCGCTCTTATCTCCCGCTCATCAACATGTGGTGACATCTCCCCTTCACTCACACACAGCTCTGGGACCATGAGTGGGACCATGGGACAGAGGAGACAGTGTTCCTATGAGAGCCTCTTTTCTACTCAAATCCTATCAAGACGTCAAGCACCAGCAGCCCCTATCCACAGCTTTAATCAACAAATGATACCAGGTATTTACACTATGCTCATTATAGCTGTGTGGGTGGGGACAATACACCAGCTTGTGTTCCGTGGGTTTGTCTGGGGTTTATACAACAGTTCAGAGAAATTGTGTGGTAGAAGGAAATAAGCAAAAACAGGTGTATTGTGAATGCTTTTACAGCTCATGTTAGCAGCAGACTATCAATGCAGCAGGTAATATCAATGCCTGCTTATTGCAGAAAAAAGAGTATATTTTAATCTTTTAACATGTTTGCAAACTGTCTTTTTGCACACCCTCAGTGATTATATCTGTGCCAAATGTGACATGTAATTTCTTCCATTATGAGATCAATAAAGATTATCTTATCTTGTCTTATAGATATTCTTGTTTTGATTCATAAGACATGTAACGTTATAACAGTGGGACAGCTCATATAAACATAATATCATAATAAAGGTAAAGGTGCACTAATGTTAAAATCAACTAAAATATATAAATAAAAGCTTAATCTTTTTGGAATTATTTTGCATACCTCTCAGAAAGAGACCCGGGAGTCACTATTTGACGCGTTTGGGATGAGAGCTGATTGGCTGAGTGCGGTTGGTCCTCACTTTTCCAACTTTCTGTCCGACAAAGCTGATCTAAAGATGCGATAGAGGCCATAAACGGATGCACATGAAAACTAGTGATAGAACCAAACTGTTTTGAGAGTCAGGAACTAGTTATTAGATAGATTTGATTTTAAAGTGGTTGGAAAGTTTGGTACCACAGCATTGAGAAAATAATTCACAACAGGCACAAAACTATCAGCTAAACTGTTTTTTGTTAGTTTTTTTTTTTTTTTTTTTACAGCATTGTGTGGTACTCACGCTGGTTGGATGGATGAGCGGCAGCGGGAGCAGGGACAGAGGGATGAGGACCACCACCAGCAGCTTCCTGGCTCTCCACAGCTTTCGGAACAGATCCATCCTCGCTGCGGCCTCTAACCTCATGAGTGACCCGGCTTTGGTGCAGCAAATGAGGCTATGGTTCTGAACACGAGCCGCTGAACTTTCTCCAGGATTTCAAAGGAGAGCGTCCAGACACGGGACCTTCAGATAAGTGTGGTATGGTTGCACTATAGTTTGGTCCGTTCTAATTGTGCGTATAATAAGTGTATATTTTGTGTATGCACGTGAAGTATGAGTGGAGAAGGTGCAGGTAAAGGACCAGGCCTTTTAAACAGCCCGATAAATATGATAATTAGGCCCCACCTAAAGGGACACCCACCTGACCAATCAGAGCCGCAGGCATGTGCACGCGGCCTGTGCGTGGGTCAATGGCGCGGCTGTTGCTCTGATGAATATTGAAGATTTACACAAACTTTTAACGCACACAAAAAACAACAAGCTGAGAATATCATAAATCTGTTTACATTTTTAAAATGTAGTGCAGCATAGTACTGTGTTGACTTTAACTTTGTCATCAGCGCACACATACCCTCTCTTGTCTCTCTAACTTGGATTAAATAGGTTGAAATGTACTGGACACTCAGTATTGACTCATTATTTTGAAGATGCAACTACTTTATCCTAATGTATTCCATCTCTATTCTTATCTCAGTAGCTTCCATTGCGCCTACTTACACTTTGGAATGTGACACAGTCATTCAGGATATTGAATCAGTGCAAAACTTAAGATTCTTTTGCAGTGTGCGGCAGTAGGATCGTGGCTGCCCTCGAGTGGCTACAGTGGGTCACTGCCATGGATCTATAATAATATCAGTCACTGCAGGCTGTATTGGGCGACCACATAATAATGTTGTAACAATGTGATTCTTGCTCATTACATGGCTCAGACAGAAGGAGAATTTACTATTGAAGAATACGTGCACTGTAGAGTTCTGGTCCACGTTTAAATTATAATATAATTTATATAATTCGTTAATTATATTATTGTTATTATTACTACTCAGCTGATGATCCGCAGAAATTTGTTTTTTACGCAAAATCGATTTAAAAACATATTTCTGTAGCAAAAAATCCTGACCTGATTGAGCAAAACCAAGGTCATTTCCGGACTCAGAGACTCAAAATTAGTCTAATTCAGCTGGAAAACCCTGGACTATTTTCAAACAATATTTTTTTGTTACCCAGTTATCCAGACTTAAAGTTATTTAACACAATGTTATTATCTATTTTTGATTGACTTTAATACATTATAAATCCTTGCTTTGTGTATCATGTTGAACATTCCTAATCACTATAACATCAATTCAAACTACCCCACTGAGAGATGCCCCAGCCAGATTAAACTCTTGTCCCAGTTCTGAAATGCAAACATTTCTTTTCTCAGAAGGCTTCTACCCTGATGACTTCAGATTAACAATTCCTACGTCCAAAGTCCAAAGGCAGAATCCAACTTCCTTACATCCAGCAGCACGAGACAAACAAGCTCCTACTATTCCGATTAGAGTCGTAATCCTTCATCCTCAGCCACGCTTTCACTAAAACAACTTGAATGAGGCCTTTTTTCACGGCTATTTCCACCGTACACACTCGACCACTGTACATATTCAATCAACCTCCCTGCACATATTACACATATTGGATGCAGATATACTTAGAGTGCGCACTGTTGCACTTTGTGTCTGGTCCTCTGGTTGACCCCTGTGTATAAGGCTGCAGTCCAAACACTCACTGCTGGCTCTGAGTGGAGACAGGTCCTGTGGAGAGATCGTGGGGGACTAAACCTACAGTCTTAAGACCTTGTTTGGAGAGACTGGGGTTATCGGCTTCAATCCTAGTTTTAATCATACTGTCTGTGTCCTCAATTAAAGTGCAAGTGTCTGAAGAAGACTGACACTCAGAGTAAATGGTCCCAAAATGGACTTCAAGGAAAAAAGCAATTGGATGTTGCTTCCTCAAACAAATTGTGAAATCCCTGCTGTTAATTGCTTCTATAAAATCCCAGTAAAGTAAATTAAAACGTAATAAAAACACAAAATGCACAGACAGAAATAATCTCGTCTTTAATTTTCAAAACCACATTGGAATACATGTGCAAAAGTACCTCAGTGTGAACAAGACAGGTACATAAATAAAACAAGCTTAAAAAGTACAAGAAGCAATTGTCACCGTGAAACCACTAAACAAAAATATTTCAAATTAGAAATACAATTGCAATATTATTATAGTGTTTTGTTTAAACTGAGACCGGCTTGTGAAAAGAAACAGTTTCCAGATGTCCTGTATCTTTGTGCACGATATCTTCTGCCAGACGATGCCAGAAGGAAGAAGCTGGAACATGGCTTTTCCAAGGGTGGTCAGAAGAGTCATTGATTAAAAGCTTGATTCAAGAGTCTGGATATTATAATAAAAACCAAGAGCTTTCTACTTCAAGCGGGATCTGTTTAAAAAAAAAATATTTCTGCAGCTGGTGATTGTTATGGTGTGGACTTTTTTGATAACTTTTCCTGGTTTTATTTTGATATATTGGTTCTGTTCAGTGTTGCTAATGTCTGTTTTGTTGATTGCCGGTCCTGCCTGTCTTTCACCCTGTGCTCTCCTCTTGTTGTTGGTCCATTGTGCTTTTTTCCCTGTTTCAACCTGGTTTGAGTTTTAAGTTCTGTATCCTGGATTTTGTTTTTGTTTATTAAATCATTTAATTAGGCAAGTCCTGCATTTTGGGCCCTTCCTCTTTTTCAAAAGGTGAAGATACTACAGTAACAGTTGCACACAGCTGTCATGTCCGATGCTGCCACTTCCACTTCAGACAAACTGAGTGTCTCCACTGCAGAGAAAAAGATTTTTTGTGTGTGACAATTACACTGATCTGTCATTCATTCAAACACTTTGATTTGTTCCTAAATGAAATCATTTGCAGCGTAACAAAACAAAAATAACGTATGGTGTTTTATTTGTCATTGTAGTGTGAAAAAACATTTGTAATTTCTTAAAAAACATTTCTCTCACATGGTAGAAAGCAAAAAAGAAGAAGCAAAATCAGACTGCTGTGAAGATTTGAGTATATAAATCCAGACTTTTCTATGTTTCACGTTACATTATGCATATACTGGGCATTTTTATGATACACCTTTGGCTTTACACATTCATGTAATATTCACTGCACCACTTTTTTAACTCAGATTAGCTTTATGGAAATATTTGTTAGCATGTAAAATAACCCACGTCAAGGTCTCATCTACCATGTTTATGTTTTCAGATGCTTCCACTGTAAGAAGCCACACAGACTCAGACTGTCAGGCTAGTACAAAAGAGGCTCAAAAACAGACCCAAAGTCAAGAGGCAGTTTTGAAGTTTTAATATCCAGGCAAAACACACAAAAAACAGACTAGACACAAACACCAGGAAACAAGACAATCTGGCAAATCTGGCAAAGAGGACACAAACTAATATACACCAGGACACAGGTGAGGCACATCAAGGGCGGGGCAGTAATCAACAACAGGAAGTAAATGTAGAGACATGAACAAGTAAGGGTGATTTCAAAATCAAACACAGAACAGAAACAGGACATGACACAGACCTATTACTTACACCAACATTATTGATCTATCTCACATTCATTTACCACTCACTTCATTGGTTCTGGAGAAAGTATGACATTTTCTAAATTAGATTTTCTGCCTGCCAGTAATCAACTTGTCATTTGAGTAATTATAATTGTCTTCATAATACAATGACATTTTGGCCGCAGAGGCGTAAAGGTAGCCTGACTCTTGCCAGACCCATGCAGTTCTCTGGTGGAGCATATAATCTGTAACAATAAACCATGATTATTTAATCTAGTGTGAAAGATCAATTCAAATAACAGTAAAACATGCAATTACAAAAGGAGGGTTTGTTGTGCTGAAATGAACCAACACAAATCAATATAATCAAATCAACAGCACATATGTAAATGCATTTGATAATGTTTGTGCCCACAGTGGAAATGATGTTTGCATATTAGTGTGAAAAACCAGCTTTTGACATCTATTTGACATTAAGTTTTTGAGTTGAGTTGAATTGTGTGCCTGACTCTTCTGTCAGTGAGAGGCTGTTGGGACTAAAAGCTGCTAATTTAAATATACAAAATATCAACTCAAAGACTCCCACATCAATTATACAGTGGCCTAGTTTAAATATATTTTCCAAAGCCCTCACCCCAAACTTAACTGATGTGATGAAAAGTGTTTTATGTATTTATTAGTTGATATTTAATCTAAATAGAGTTTTTTTTATTGCAGGCGATCCAAACCCATCTCGATATAGAGGAAGGACTGCAGATTGTTTTTCTTCTATTTGCTCACGAGGTCAGTACAGCCCTCTCCTCTATCCCTTCTTTGCTCTTCTCTCCATTTCCTCTATTTCTGGTCCAAATATATCTATAAATAATATGTACAGTGAAGCGGGAGTACTGCCCCTCACACCTCGCTCACCTGTGGCACTCAGCACCACACGTGTCACATGTTACTGCAACTACTCTCACACTATCACCATATACAATCAGTTTTTTGAGTTTGACAATGATTTTTACTGTATTTTTATACATATGGAACAGAGTGAAGAAATAAATAGAGAAGGACTTATATTGAATAGGATATATACAGTATGACATATGAATATTTTTTTGTATTCCGCCACAGTTTGAATAGGAAAGAATGGTCATATGATTAGTTATTATTATGTTGTTTTAATACTTATTCACCTCTATTTTCCCTTCAGGCCAACAAAGTCTTTAATGTTTATTTATATAGCGCATTTTACAGACCAAGGTCACCCAAAGCGCTATACAATGTTCAGAGTTCAGACATTGTTCCAATTATTCCACACACTGGACCATCAGCCCCCAATCAACACCATCCATTCACTCTCTCATTTACATTCATACCTATTGTGCATGTTTTTAGTGGTAGGGGGAAACCTACGCAGACGCGGGGAGAACATGCAAACTCCACTCATAAAGGCCCTGTTCCAACCGGGATTCGAACCCAGGACCTTCTTGCTGAGAAGCGAGAGTGCTATCCACTCAGCCACCGTGCTGCTCTCTTTGGGTGTTATTGCTGTAGTAATAGTAATAATATGAATCTTCACAATCTCCACACACATTCAATAATGGATACTCCTTATGTGGTGTTTTTCATGACACCCAAAGACTCTTCACATGTCATTATTCATTCATTCCATACAAAAACATAACAACAGTTCCGCACTTTACACCTGCCACTTGTGTTCCCAGGCAGAGGACTAACTAAGACGTGCCCTGCTTGGCTTCAGAGATCTGGCCCAACAAATATTTAAACATGTTCACTCCTTATCTGTCGTTATAAAGCATCAAGAAGATTGTGGATTCAATTAATGTGCATGTTTTGTCTGACTTCCAGCCTAACCATGCGCCTGAAGTGAGAAATGCTCTGACTGGGTGTCCAAGTGACATTGAAGGGTTAGACACATTTCTAATGAGCAAATGGCCAAATAGAACAACTAGCTAAATAATGTTTGTTCATTCAGCCACAGTACCACTTGGTTAATTCAAGCCATATTTTATTCAGCCCACTATAAGCTAACTGCAAGATAAAAGTGTAACCATCCACCCACCAAGCCATTAAGTCCTTTTCTGCAGCTTGTTGTTTCTTTCCCGGTGAACCGATTTCACCCGTGCACATGCCAGGTCTGCAATGAAGTCAGCAGACACAAACTGCGTGTGAGGGAGAAAGTGAGTGGCACATAGGAATATACAGACTTAAGGGGCTCAGTGTTACGCAAGAGCTCAGCTGGAGATAAGAGCAGAGAGAGAGAGGAGATACGGGGCAAGCGAGAGGGCGATCCGTAGAGGGGAGAGAGAGGAGAACGCTAGACCAAAGCTGCAAGCAGGACCACTATGTTTGAGCCTCTCATGCATGCACTTACTTATCCTGTTTGGTCTCTTTGCAGAATCATGAATCTACATCCTAAACGGAAATACCTTTATGCATTGAAGGAGTCGTCCAATTGAAGTGAAAAGCATGGGGCTTTGAATTCTGGAATAAACTTTTGAATATGGCACAGATGTCTTGCAAACTCAAGCCAAAAGCTGTCAAAGTCTGGATATGCGTTGGTCTCTTTTTTGCGCTTTACATGCCAGCGATTGTGCATGGATCTACGGTAAAGCAGGAGGAGGACCAGGAGGAAGACTCGAGGGTGACAGCGGCCACTCTGTTGTTTAATGAGGACTGGACAGGGACTACGGTGCAGTTACTACCGGACCTGCAGACGGAGACAGAGACTGAAGAGGTCACTGAAGTGCTGATGGAGGGAGAGGTGGAGGTGGTGACCCAAGCTATAATCCCCAGGAACTACACAGGTAAGAGGCGTGTTTGAGGTTTTCTGATAAAGTTTTCTGATTTGAAAGTACTTAAAGCTGCGGTACTTAAAGGTGTATAAGAGGATTTTCTTCTTCCGGGTGGATCATCAAGACTATTGGTTCTCCCAATTGTCAATCATTCTGGTGATACATGCTCGTCAAATAAGACCAGAAAGTTTTGTTAAAAAAGAGGGTGGAGATTTTTTACTAAAATTTAGAAAATCCTCCTACATACCTTTACATTTTAAACTACTTACAATTTGACAATTTGATCTATGTGATAAAATCCATCCAATTTTAATCGTTACCTGCAGCTTCCAAATTAGTTTGATTCTGTCACTGGTCTTCGCATGCATCTATTTTTGAGAAATGTATTGTAAACTTGGTATAATAATGTTTACTTTGAATTATTACTTGTTGAATTCAGGATTCAATATTTATGGTAAAATAAAAGGCGTGCTTGTTTTCTTGCTAAGATTTTAAAACAATGTATATCATGCCATATTTGCAGAATCTCAGCGGGGGGAAAAAATGTCCATAAAATACCATTTTGCGGGCTGCTGTTGATTATTATGAGTCCTTCTTTTGATAATACTAATAAAAACAATGATAATAATAATAATAATAATAATAATAATAACAATAATAATAACAATACCAAAAACAATTACTTTTACAATACACTTATACTAATAATAGTACTGATACTAATATAATACTTACACTAATAACAATAACAATAACAAACACTTTTCTGTATGTCATCGCAGTTGTGGTGGCATCCTTAGCTTTGCCTACTGCATACCTTGACTTATCCTGATGTGGTGGTGTGGCAGCTTGGCCTGGTAATGAGCATACTTAGTGAACAACAGCTGGGATAATTAGAAATGTGCACAGTGATGAAATTGGGAACAGGTCCATATGGTTCTTACTTGTTACCAAACCTGACAGCAGCAAACCTCCCTTGTGTTAATTAGATGTAGTTTACCCTGGAGGAGTGTGGTTGTGCGGTCAGGCGGAGGTACTTTGCAAAATATGGAAATAATTGTGGATACAGTTTGAGAGAGAAGTGTTCGGTGACAATATAGCTCCAATATTATTACTGACATATTCAATATATTCTACATTTGTGGATGTCAAGTTACAGTAATTGAACAGGGCTTACAGAGGAAGTTACTATAATCATCCTTCCACTACTTTATTTTAGTCCACATTAAACAATTATTTGAAAGCTGAAATAATGATAATAATTTGACCAAAATATTGACTAATTATTTATGTGGCTGAACTGTCTTGCTTAAGGACTCAATGACAGTTTACAGCTACAGCCATGCACCTGGTGATCTCAGATTAATAAGTTATAGTTATTAATTCAGCTACAAATACGTTGTAGGTAAACAATATAATCTTTGGGAAAAAATGGCCCAATAAAATGGCTTAACAGAATACTGAAAATATAAGTTGTGTTCTGTGCTGTTGATGTTTGGAGTTCTAAAAGTCAAACAGAATCATGTGGCTGAGAGGAGACAGCTGCTGAGACACAGTCTAAATGACTTCACCTTCAGCGTGCACTCTCTCCTCTATCTTCTCCCACTCATTCTTTTTAATTTGGAAACCCCATGTATTTGTTCAGACCAGTGATGAGCTAAAAAGAATGCAGCTTTGTTTCCCGGTGCATTCATTTAACCTATCCTCTTGTCAATACTGAGAGGCACAAAGTCACTTAATGAGAACTACTGAACTTTATATAGACGGGCAACACATGCTAGCCTGTATTAAGATAGTTTGTGTTGGACTGTGTATTTCAGTGAAAACGCAGGTGCAATACAGTGGTGTAGGGGGAAGTGCTTGTGCTTCATAGCATGGAGGTCCTGAACAGGTTTCCTCGGGCAGACGAGGCCTTTGAAGGAGAAGGTCTTTTATTTGTCCCACAGTTGGGAAATCACAGTTGGGAAATCACAGTTCACCCCTACGGGTGACTGTGGAATTTGCATTTTCTACCAGTGTCTGTGTAGGTTTTGTCCAGATGCTCTACAATAGTTCAGGGTGAATGATATGCCATATTAGTCCAGACTCTCAGTGGGGGCCACAAACTTTGATGTCCACTAGGGAGCTACAAAATAGCTGCTTTGCAGACCACAAATGGCCTGCGGGCCACAAGTTTGACTGGTTATAAGAAAGTAATAAAGAAAACAAAGAAAACACACAATGAAAATTTGGCAATACATTGTATTTAGATATGGGACTTGATTGAATATCCATGCTAAATGTGATAGCAAAATAATCATCATAGAATCAATCGTGTATCTCAGGACATTTCATTAGTTTTCACTGACATTTGTCGGTCTTTCTTGACTGGGCTCTGTGACAGTCTTAAATCCCCATCCATCCCCTCATCTATCCTCTTTCCCTGTCTCCCTGGAGCCTGTCTGTCTGTGTCTCATGTGCTCCACCCCGATGACTCGAGGCCAAACTCAAAATGCTCGCTCACGTGCCTAATGTGCCGATAACACACACATTCAGACCAAAGCAATCTTCTTAAGGGTTTACACAACAATCACAGTTGCTCTTTCATAAGTACAGCTGTGGGCCGGACCGACGGCACGGCTTCAATAAGCATGATATTTACCAAAAACAGGTGACCGCCCCGGATGATGAAGGAATTAGAGCAACGATTTATAGGAAATGTTTTCAAATCATCCAAATCCTGGAGGTGTGATTAACTAGAGCCAGTTGAAAACATGTGTGCCGGGTTTAAATCACTTTCCTCAGTACGCTGGATTGTACTTAAAAGTATGATATTTTCAATTATCATCTCCTTTGACAATAATTTGTGCGTTCTATAGCTACTAGAACTTGTTGGGGTCAAGATAATAAGTCAGTGAACTCTGCTCTGACAACAGCCCAACTCTACCGTAAATTATTTAGTTATTTGGATCTTCTTTAGCTTCCACAAGTGATCGCTAGTCTTCCCGGGGTCACCTCCACAAATGATAAATTCACAATAAGAATATTAAAAACATACAGTATAAAAAGCATTTACAACACAAAATAACACAAGACTGAATACACATTTTACATCATCCTTCATTCAAGTATTGTGGCTTTATTTATTTTTTTCCTGAAAAATCTGATGCCATAGAAATCTGATTCCAAGCAGCAGAGGATACAGCTCGACTAAATCTCGAGAGCTAACCTTCCGGGTCACGCTGATGGCAATAACTGCTGTAACCAAGTTGTTTTTAAAGATGGCGTTATGCAGAAAGCGCAAGAGGCTGTTCTTTAACTGGTCCTGTACCTTACACCAGGCTAAAGAGGTGTGCGTCTCAGTCACACTGGTCCTATAAGAACACTTTATAGAACCACAAATTCATGTTTTGAATCTGAACCACATCCCTATACATTTTTTCTTCTTTGTAAATAAATAAGTCATATTTATTTATATTGCACCTTTACAAAGCGTTTTACATTTCATCTAATATCATAATTGTTGTTGAATGTGTCAATATCTTTCATTGCAGCCTCAGTCATCATAACACTTAGTAGAAAATATTCCTAAGTTGTCAGATGTATAAGAACAATTGACTATTTTCTTTTTTCAATTTATGATGAAATCTGTACAATGACCCCATGATCTCATATCTCCTGAATTACTTTTTAATCGAAATTAAAATAGTGTACTATATAAAGTATTATCATTATTATTATTATCTGCCCTTTATTTGTCAGTATGTCGCTCAGAGAAACAATGTGTCATGTCTAACGGGGTGAAACAAAAATGTTGAATCAATATGCAAATCACTGCACAGTAGGAGGCAGATGGTTTTCTGCGGTGACCTTGGAAGCAGAAAGCAGAAAAAGTTGCCCTGCACTGAAAATAGCCACTACTATTTTCAGCCATACTTTGTGTATGTTTATTCTCTGAATCTACTACAAGAATAAATTGGTAACACAAATTCTAGACAACATTATGTTCATCTGAGCTTTTATTTATCCTGTTTTTCAAATGGGTCGTCAATGTTTCCTTAGACTGTTTTATTTCATATCCATTTTACGTTTCAGCCCAAAGTAGTCTGTTTATTTCAGCATTTCTCTCTTTCTACTGTATATGTGCAACACGTACATTAACCCACATGAAATTCTTTGCATAATGCATGTTTTGCACAATGGCCTCAAAGGAATACACACACATATGCATTCAACCTGTATTATTCCTCTTTAATATTTGTTTGCACCAATGCAGTAATTGTTGTGCATAATAGTTTCTCGGGGGATTTGCAAAGACACAGATACATAATATTTTGAAACACCATAATCATATAGTGGTCATGGTCGTCTATTTGAGGCATTGAGGTTTGTGAAGTTCTTGATTCATGAAGTGTGAATTTATGATTTGGCTCATTTCAATAAACACCAATAAATCCTATAAACAAATATATTTGTTCAGCAAAATTCATACAGAAGCAACACAAAGTTCAACTAAACAATTTTATAACCCACACAAAATGTTCGTCAAATAATTTCTAAAAGTGGAAAGAAAATCAACCTGGATTTGAACACCGACAGACTAGAATCATGTTACTGATCTAAGGACCAAAATTTAATATATTTTTGATCAAAATGCCATGACTCCCTACCATCAAAAGTAATATAGCTAAGAAAGAATTCTGCTTGTGTAAATCTGTATCTAGTGTATATTTTAGATCAAACACACTGGATTTTTGTATTCTACAAATCCTGCTGGATAGTAATCCTGCATTACTTTGCCAGATTCAACTGTTTTTGTTTTGGCCAGATTCTCTCATACCACCAGTGTCACTCATTATTGCACATTTACAAAGTGTATGACAGTGCACATCCCAAAAAAATAAAATAAAAATAAAACACTAAGTACAAAAAAAATCTTTCTACTATACATCTGCACCATCTCCTCAGTCAGACGTGTGAAGCCTGCTGATCAGATAACCTCTGTACAGTACTGTAAGAGCAGTGGTTATTGC